ACATTTATTAAACAATTTACGATTTTAAACTTCGAAATCAATTATTGTTACAAACATCCTCCTAGTGCTTCGGAGCTCGTAAACTGTTTAATATATGTAAATAAAGCTGCCAAATAATGAGGAAAGATGTACAGTTTCGTAAGTACTTGCGTAACTGCTTAGTGAATCCTGGTCCAGATGAGCTATGGAGCTGTGAGGAGAAAAAGTAAATGCAGTATGCAACTGGAGCGAACTAAATTGAGAAAATTGTATAAGCTACCATCTATTAAAAAAATAGTGTCGACAGTCATTAGACGGCCGGAAAGGCGGAGCCCAGTAGCTGAAGTTATAACCTCTTCTCCATCATCGCTGGTTGACCAGTCCAGCAACCAGAAGGCCTGGTCGAGGACCGGGCCGCGGGGATGTTGAGCCCCGAAACCATCGCAAGGTATACCTTCTCCCACTAAATGTACACTACATGGAGGCGCACACGGCTCTCCACGCTGCCTGTCCCAATTGGTCCTAACAGTTAAACGCACATTTAGATGAGTGAACACAAAACGCTAGAAAAGAACCCCGATGACAACATAGAAGCTCTTAAAAATATTGACAAACTGAACAAAATGGGAATCTTAGCACAATCATGGGGTTAGACAACATTGGTGGAAACGAGAAGGTCAGATAGGGAATGGAGAGGAGCAAGTAGAATGAATTTACAGGAGAGGTAATAGGAGTTAACTCTATATGTTTCAGATTCATGAGTAGGCATATAAAATTAAGTATTGGAAGTTATTACAATAGGACACCGGTGACCGATAAACCGGGCCCAGGCGTTGAAGTTCGTACTGGAAGCACATTTAGGTAACAAGCGCGCGCACATGTGCTTTGGGCATTTATCAGTGAACTTGCAAGTATAATGAGGCTTAATGAGCAATATATCAGAGAAGTGAGGGCGAGGCATAACACAGGAGTCGCCGATGACATGTGCACTTCCACTCCTATTAGGCTAATGGGTTTTCCTTTGATTTATTACACGAACACCGGTAATTATGTAACACGAGATGTAATTACCCGCATAACCATACACCATTTGTTACGAGTGATGTCATGATCCTTCAGAGACGTAATTGACTTAATAATTACAGGTCATTTAACGTCCCTACAGAGTTAAGGGGGACGGAGGGTACTGTAAATACCGAGCTCTGTCCATTCGTATTTGGTTGTTAGAATTCAGCTTTTAACTCCAGGGACTCGCCACAGTTTTCCGGAAGTTTAGGTGGCCACATTACATAGCCTTCGAGGCTTGGTGCCCTCTTTTGATAATTACTTTTTTTTTCTTTAGGTGGTCACAACAACAATGTTCATACATTGTACTATAGCTGTAATAGAATATTCCACTCCCATATTCTCTCCTCTCTCTCTCTCCCTCCCATTCTTCCCCTATTCTCTCGCGCGCACTATCTGAGGTAGAAGACAAATTATATACGATTTATATTATAGTGAATTGTATTCAAAATGCAGCATAAATATTTAAAAAAAGTCAAGTTTCATTGTCGAGTGTCATGTTAAATTAGTAAAATGTAGTATTTGCATATAAGAGTGTCAAGAAAGTAGTGTTATTGACGCCTAAAGCTACAGGAACTTCTACCGACGCTACTCTCGTGTCTAGCTAGTTTGAGTATTTAAAACGTCACCGTCAGCTCCAGCGGAAGTAATGTGCTTTTGCGTTATCGATTACCGTTCAGAAATTGTTTTTTCCATCGCATATGACTAGGCACATTGTTCTTTATGGCATAGTTGTTGTGTGTGGTGTAGACGTGGTACCAACACTCGTAGGTGTGGGTGCCACAGGTCGCTGTAGTGTAGTTAGTTCTGGTGTGAGTAATTAGGTTAACAATTACATATAAATATCAATTGGCGCTCCTTCAACACCTGTTGGTATATAATGAAGCATTGAAGGTTTAAATGTATAATCGATTAATTGGGTTGACACAGATTGCTACCTTCTTCACTCCTCTTGCTCTACCTCCTCTCCCCCCTCTCCTCTTGCTCTACCTCCTCTCCCCCCTCTCCTCTTGCTCTACCTCCTCTCCCCCCTCTCCTCTTGCTCTACCTCCTCTCCCCCCTCTCCTCTTGCTCTACCTCCTCTCCCCCCTCTCCTCTTGCTCTACCTCCTCTCCCCCCTCTCCTCTTGCTCTACCTCCTCTCCCCCCTCTCCTCTTGCTCTACCTCCTCTCCCCCCTCTCCTCTTGCTCTACCTCCTCTCCCCCCTCTCCTCTTGCTCTACCTCCTCCTTCCCCCCCCTCTCCTCTTGCTCTACCTCCTCCTTCCCCCCCTCTCCTCTCCTCTCCTCTTCCCCTCTCCTTTTTTGTATACTAGTGAAAAGTGATCAATAGTATTGCAGTGATGTTTCTATGTAAATACTACATGCTGGGTGGTGACTCGCTGGGCTCACGTACGTGTGTGTGGGGGGGGGGGGTAACCGGAGTGTTGCTAAGGCCACTGCAGTAGTGTAGTGACCAATCAACATGTTTATGGTGGACGAGGGCGGGTGTTAGTATTCATAATGTCCAAGTGTTTTAACGCGTTAACATTTTCCTCCGAAAGTAAGAGCTGTGTCGGGTGGCTGGTCCCAAAACCAGTCTTATCTGGAACCGGGTCATTCACCACAAGGTTGACACTCGTCTGTCGTCGATGGTAAAAGCCTGAATTAATATAGGCTTAATAGGTTGTTGATGAGTGGTGCTTGTCCTGCAGGCCTGAAGGAGTCGAAAGGCGCTTGAGGGGATGTTTTTTAATAACTAATGAGTTTCATTAAGATGGACATCAACGACAACTGGTATACAAATATTAGACAATCTACAAATATTTGTTTATCGAAGTAGATATATAATTTCTCCATAAAACAAAATATAAATATTAGCACATCCTTACTGTTGTGTACACAGAAATTAGGGAATATGTTTTATGGTGGGGTTGTAGTCTTGGCCACTAATCAATGTACATCACGCACTCGTCTCATGGTCACTGACGTGGACAGTCATTGTCGCATTGCTCGTGTACTCTCGTGGGTCGCTCACACCACTGCATAAACCATCTATGTTCAATATAACGCACTTGCAAATTTTGTTGTAACATGTGGTGCAATTGAAATATTTTTGTATTTGTCGTAATTGCAACCAATTTGGAAAGGGAGTCTGATCGATATAAAAAGTTACTATTAAAATAGAAAAGTTTGTAATTTTATGCTAATGAGTTAATTTGTAAGATCCCAGTTCACTCTGCTGGCTCACTCCCTGAAAAGGCCTCTCGGTTGGCTTTTAATCTATAAAATATAATGTCTGAGGTTGGAGGCCAGCCGCTTGGGGCTAACCTCGCCTAACTTTCCAAAATTAATCATTTTGGGTAGGGGAGTGCCATAGACCAGTCGGTGTTGCCCCAAGTGACATGCCTTTATAAATTATATTCTTGACAGAACCCCCGTCCATGGAGTCGAGGCTGACGTATTTGTTTCCCATTGCTTAGTAATAATAGATTTTCGGGGAGTGAAAGAAGAGGGGAAAGAGGATACTGTAAAAAGTAGCCTCATGTTTAAATTGTATAAGACAATATTGACTATTTTAGTACTCATATAAAGGTTAAACCATTTGTTTTTTACGGGATAATCTCCCCGGCTTGGTGCCTTTTGATAATTACTTTCACAAGAGGAGAGTAACTTTTTACTCTTTTACTTATTTTTTTTAAATCGTCTTTTACAATGATATGCAAGTTTGTCATTATTTAAAAGCACAGGTAGTTTGTGCTTTTAAATAATGACAATTTTTAAATAAAATAACTTTTTTTTAACGTGTATTGCAAAATATGAGACATGTTCACGCAATTGGAAGTCCGAGCTATTTTTATACAGCGATATAGAGGAAAACATGAATTCCCGAGCCTCTGGTCATGTAATGGAGACTTAGTGAACGGGTGGAGGTTGGGAGTCTGGAGTCAGTTTCATAAAATGGCCGGCGAGTGGGGGATGGAAATATGACTCAACTCACCCGAGGCCGAACACCTGTCAGTTATATAATCTATTGCAGAGACCATGCGCGGAAATCAGAGTCATTCAGTGGTATGTTCTGTAAAACATTAATGCCCTGAGAATAAGGAAACAAATCCATCAGTCTGATCATTTTGATCAGAGTTAGTAGTTGCTGTGTTGCATACAGCAATATTGATGTATTTGTTTTGGATTCGAGCACTTCCCCGATATAGAGCAAGCAACATTTTGAACGCACTGCAGGTACTATATACAAACTTATTTATTTTGTAATTCCACGCTGAGGAGAGCGTTGAGTGGTGACGGTCCAGGTGGCTGGCTGGGTGACGGGAATAACGGTCTCGTCTTCACGCTGGTTCTCTTGTGCCCTGACTGCACGGGCTAGAAACAAATTGAAGTTATTTGTCTAGCATTTCGGTTTTCGTTTTATATTGATTCGTACTGAAAATAAAATAATCTGAACAGCATGTATGGTAAAGACAGACACCGACCGACCGATCAGCGGACGGACGGATAATTGTTTACCTTTCCACCGTGTTAATCTTGTTTTGTAGTATTTTCAAAATTTGTTGCTGAATTGTCGAGATCGGTTTAGTTTACTGGGTACTTATCTCTAGCACCTTAACGCCTAGGGTGTTAATGATTTATCATCATCATGCCAATTTGGCGGGTATTTAATTATTTACATTACTATTGTAAGTATATACTTCAACTGCACACGAAAACACCTAAATGTGCTATAAAGTGCATCTATATGTTGTTTTAGTGAAATTAGCATTAAGGAGGTGTACTAAAAGATTTACCAGCTGTACTCATTGGTGGAATTACTGCACTCAATCCGGTGGGGGAAGGGGGCCGCCTAGCATACCTGCCTGTTCTGTTTACCTTTATAAATAAATTATATGATTATGATGTATAATGAATGAATAATTTTATTGTTTTTTCAATTTGTATTTAATGTTTTATTTTTTATTTTTAGGTTGCGTGATGGAATACGCGGCCATGTTGAGCGCGCCAGATTTAGTGTCTGGATTGCGAGATTTGCTGGCTGACCCTGACCATGCAGTGGTAAAGCGGACCATACGGGTGTTCGCAAATGTCTACCGCCACGCCTTCCAGCTTCTGTCCACAGGCGACCTGGATGAGGTCACCTTCAATGGCGCCTGGCCCGCGGTCAAAAGCGTGGCAGAACAACTCATACACATGTTGACTACAGCAGAAAATGAAGGCTTGATAATTCACATAGTTCGATTTTTGGAAGCAGCATTAATAGCTCATCTGCTGTCTGACGTATCACGCTTTCCAGAACTTGCCACCCAAATTCCAAAGATAGTGGCCAAAGGTGTGAATGCATTAAAAGCGTTAGTGACGACCCCCTATGTCGGTGGCTCGGCCTTCATTGTGGCGGTAAGGGCACTCATAACCGTTGCCTGTTACAAGCGGGACCTCTGGGTCCCTGTTACCAACCTTATAGAAAAACAAATTGCCTCTCCACCACCAACGCTGTTCGACCATAATGTACGATCTCTCCACAAGATACTACAGAGGAACCTTTTCAGATTGTTAAGACGAGCTGACTCGACACCCCTTCGCAGCCAACTGATAGAAATGATGGTAACCGTAGGCGTCCCTCGTCGCATGCTGTCTCAGTGGGCACCACCCCAGGAGAATCGTAAAAGATCGGCGCAGCTGGCACATAGTGAAGATGCCATCACTGGACGAAACACTCCTCCAACTGCCAAAAGAGCTAAACATGAGAATGTAAATGAAAACAGAAGAACGCCGCCTAGGGATCCTCGCGAGGCTCGTGACACTAGAGAAGGGCGTATTCCTCGGGACATGCGTGAGGTGCGTGGTGAATCACGAGACCCAAGAGTTAGTGGGGAGCCTAGAGACCCAAGAACGGCTCAGCGTGCAGTCCCAAGACTTAGCCCACCTCGCGATCCACGAGAATTGCACGGCAAAGACCCACCCAGCAAGCCTAACACACCGCCAGCCTCTGGGAGGTCCACACCTGAAATAGTAAATGTTCCCACCCCTGAAGAGACGACGATTGTGTCTGTACCTGAGATTGTGTCCATGCTCGAGGAGAAGAGTGTGTCTATACCCGAAGAGAAGATTGAGACCATACCCGAAGAGAAGATTGTGGCCACCATACCCGAGAAGATTGTGTCTGCACCTGAGAAGACTGTAAGCATTACCAAGAAAGTAAAAGAAGTTAATTCTAACTTTGAATTCTTGAAGAGCTTGATTACAAACACAAAGAGTAAATCGGCACCCTCTTCAGAACGTTTTTCTGAGAAGGAGAGGACCCTTTATGAGCGATTGGATCATCCTCATGTGGTGGAACTGGTTTTATCTTGCCTTGATAGTGTGCCTGATTCACCCCCAGAAGATCTGCTTACACAGCTTGGTCATGGCAGCGGTGATGTAGATGGTATCAGGGAACATTTAACTCGCCTTCTGGCTCCGCACCTACATGCAGACTTTATCAACAGTTTGACACCAGTTGATGAGGAAAACGTCTCAAACCCACCGTCAAGACCACCTTCCACTTCAGCAGCTACAACCTTTTTGCATAGTGTAACTCCACCCCTGGACATTCAGCGGGAACCCTCACCACCTTCTCCTCCATCCTCCAGTCGCTCCACACCCACAGATATATCTCTAATGTGCAATTCCGATGTTGATCTGCGGCATTTCTTGAATAGAGGATTCCAAACCACCGGAGATGTTGATATGAGGACAAGTGACCAGCGATTTTCCAGAGATCCCAAAGGAATCACAGGAAACCACAAGCCTCTAGTAGATCCAAGGACTTCAAGGGCTGACCCAAGAATCCCCAAAACAAACAATGTAGACAATAAAGGTGACGTATTAGATACCAGAACATCCTTGGTCAACACAAGCACACGACTAGACCCAAGAATTACAATGATGGATCCTAGAACCCTGTCAGACTCTACAGACGCGCAGCGGACTACCATGGATCCTAGAATCGCGCAGCCCTTCACTGATGCCAGGAATTCCAGAATAGGTACTTGTACTGACCTTGGAGAGCAGATGTTGGGTAACAGCCAGCAAAACTTCATGGGAATGAATAGTGGTTTCACCGGAGTGAGAAATAACATGATGCAGAACAATTTCCAAAATTTTGATTCCATGTTTGGAAACGGCGGTGGCCTAAATCAGCAAGACCCACGATTGATGAATGGGGTAGGGCTCTGTAATGGGCCCATGGACCTCAACTCCGGAAGACTAGGAAATGGCAACCTTCATAATCCAGGTTTCATGGGAAATGGGGGCAATATGTACAGAGCGGGGCCCGGTGGACCATGGCAGGGTAATATGCAGCCAAACCGTATGGCCATGATGATGCCTATGATGAACGGTGCCCCAGGCATGTTCTCCCAGGCGCCACCTATGCACTTGTAGCTGGTGCCGCCCAGGCTTCCCCTCGGGGAGGCGATGGGGGTGAGGCGTCCACTTTTTCCCCCAAACTGCCCTAGCTGGCAACCATACAATTACGGGCCAAATATAAACTTTTAAGTTTTTATTTTTATCTTGAGTTATTTCCAATCACTCCATAAGGTGCTAAAGATTATTAATAGCAATGTGTAAATGATGACTTATGTTTACTTGTACTCATTTTGCTTATCATTTGATTGATATCTTCTTGTTCAGCTGTTACTGTTACCTAATCATTCTGTTATGAAATCATTCACTTAAATAAGGATCTTTGTTTGTGTTCTGTAAATATGGTGTTAAGTATAGAAAGAAAATAATATTTGTTGTTAAAACTAATGTCACTTGTACAGCAGCAGCAGCTAGTGCGTCCAGGGCTCAGTGCGCATATATTTATTATGAGTGAATGTATTGTGTATTCCTTTTTTTATATTTTGAATAAACAATATGAAAGACTTTTTAGCTTTTTCCATGGTCCATGTCCTAATTTGTAAATTAAATTTGTTAATAAACAAAGGTTAATTAAATTTAACACCGATTTTCATAGTGTTTGCAAGCCCACACCAGTTGCCCAATCAAATACCTTTTGAGATGAGATTTATTGTAGTTGTATTAAAGGAATGGTGAACTAATAGACAAGTATTCGAAGGGGGCCAGGAGGACTAATAAAGGAAACATTTTTCTGTATTTTTAATTACTGTAAACTTGCTTTATATATCATAGGACATAAAAAACTAAAGTTTGTCTGCATTTTACTATATATAACTTGGTTTACAAACACACACACTGGTCAATAACAGTATCAAATGAGTATACCGATATCACATTTATTAAAGATAATTGATGTGAACAGTAACATTAACTGTCATATCAGACAATAAGGAAGCCAGAGAATTTTTAAATTGGATCTTCACTATAACCTTGGCAGTTGATGGCCAGATGCTTGGGGCTAGCCTCATACAACTTCAGTCCTACAAAGTTGCCTTTATGGAGTGTCATAAGAGGTCTGGGTTTCCTCTTCCCTCCCCTCAAGGTGGGAAATTGGCCTGTATAATCCATTTATGAAGTTGGTGGTTAAAAAGTGCCACCTAAAGTCCGTAGAGTTTAGCATTGACTGAAATACTTGTGTAGTCAGATACTGAGCTGCAAATTGTGCGAGCATGAATAACAAATTTGCACTCTGGGCACAACCTTTTGATTACAGTGATACGTGTAGGGAAAAATGGTTAGTGATGGTGGGAGGGGGAAAGAACAGGGAAGGTGTACTCACCTAGTTGTGCTTGAAGGGAGGGATGGGCACTGGGTCAACTCAGATAATGCTGGGTATCCCCCCATCCTATCTAGTACTGTACTTGTATATGTATGTATATATATATGTGTGTGTGTATATATATATACTTCGGCTTCTTCAACTTCGTTCCCATAGGGTCTGAGACCTTAGGCCCATGGGGAAAGAGTGCAAGAAGGTTTCTTAAGGATCTTGGTTCCAAGCTCATTGACACTACAAGAAACCCTAGAGCGGCAAGTTTTCTCTTCCAATGCCTGAGTGTCGCGATCCAGAGGGGGAATGCCCGCTGCGTCCTTGGTTCCTGCCCGGCGTCGGAGGAGTTCGAGGAAATCTACAGCCTCTAGGAAGCAAATTTTTTCTTGTGTCCTCTTAATGTTCATTTTTTGTATAAAATCAGATATGTAACTGTATAACCTTGCATAATAAAGTGTACACCATAAAAAAAGGGGTGGTAGGAGTAGCGAACACTCGTACGTATTCTGAGTTAAACGGCAAGTTTTTCTCTGAATGCTCTATGTTCCCTTCTTTGAGGTTGTGGGTCCCTATAATTGCACCAGAGGTGGTACCCCAAAATAAATAAATAAATAAATAAATAAATAAATAAATAAAAATATATATAAATATTATATATATATATATATATATATATATATATATATATATATATATATAATGTATGTCTCATTCAATATGACCGCATATTCTGTATTTACTATCTTCTGATTTAGGGCTTCTATCCCTCTTAACTATTTTCTTAGCATCAGGGCTTAGCTGAAAGAGGAGTTCTCCAAAACTCATTTTCATAATTTCAAGGTGAAGAAAAGAAGTGAATTACTATAGAATGTATTACACTTATTTATACAATTTGCACAACGTTTCGAACCTCCATGGTTCATTCTCAAGTAAAAAGAATTTTCAGAACTGGTTGATTTATACCCGCACTGGGTCAGGTGATAAGACAATAAAGGTAAAAACATGGGAGATACATAAGGGATAAATGGGGGGTGAGGCACATAAGAACATAATAATAAAGGTAACTGCGGAAGGCCTATTGGTCCATACGAGGCAGCTCCTATCTACATACAAAGATTAATCAGGTTATCTACAATCAAAGATTTATATATATATATATATATATATATATATATATATATATATATATATATATATATATATATATATATATATATATATATATATATATATTATATATATATTTATATTAGTGTGCAAAATACAATATTCCAAAAGATGTGCATTAGCACTACTGTATATGCAAATTAATATGGTTAATATTGTTCAGAACTTCTTACATGATATACACAGCTCAATAAACATTATATAAAAAATTTAAATCATATATACTGTACAGTATATGATAAAGCATTCATAAATACAAACTGCAAGAATGGCAGTTATTTGGTCCAGTAAATAAAACTATCTGTCATAGGCACTTATCTTGCAAGTATATAAACTTATATATATCTTACAAACCTGAGCTTTTCAGAGATAACTGTTGAGACCCTTCAGAGGGCACACAAACATAGAAAGTGGGTTTACCTTTGTACTTTTTCAATATGTGAGAGATGAGGCGGTCTACACAGTCCTGCTTCACCTGAAATATTTTATGGCATAAGGAACTGGTGGAGTGTATACTAAGAATTTTCCAAGCTGTTCATTTGCAACTGGGCTGATCAAAGAGCAGCCCACGTGCGATTAAGTTGAATATGTACTCACCTGGTTATACTCACCTAGTTGTGGTTGCAGGGGTTGAGCTCTGGCTCATTGATCCCGCCTCTCGACTGTTAATCAACTGATTTAAAGATTCCTGAGCCTACTGGACTCTATCATATTTACATTTGAAACTGTGTATGGAGTCACCCTCCACCACATTACTGCCTAATGTATTTCACCTGTTAACTACTCTGACACTGTAAGAGCTGTATGGTGTCCATATCTCCAAAAACATAGATAAATAAGAAAAAAGTGCTGACATGCTACTAAATGGCTTCCAGACCTAAAATACAATAACTGAGGAGAGGGTAGTCTTTAGTGTTTTTCCTGCCCGAAACGCTTTGCGTAATAGTGGCTTTAGGCATTGTATGTACTAGCTCTATCTATAAATTCATCAATATTTGTATCACCCCTTGTATGTATGTACTTTATCTGAATAAACATTTGAATTTGAATTTTGAATTTGAATTTGAACAGGGAGGGGGTGAGGAGAGGGTACATATGTTGAAACTAGAAGACAGAAGAAAAATAATATAGTTCATCTTGTGTTTTTCCTAGTCAATGCCAGCTATAAGTCAGCCTAGCTGTTAGAATTATGGAGGTCCCCCTTAGGCTTACTACTGACGTTTCCCAGGATGGAACCCACAGCAGCTGTCTAACTCCCAGGTACCTATTTACCACTAAATAACCAGTAGCATCAGGTGAAAGGAAATGATGCCAAAATGCTTCTGTCCTACCACGAGAATCAAACCTTAGGTTAAAATCAAGGAAACAAAGGTACCAAAAACATACCAATATTATCGTTTGCAGTGATTGATGGATAGAATATTAAATGACCAAGATTATAGGGAATACGAGATACCATAAGCTTAGCTTTCATCTTATAACTAAGCTTAGATAATTATACATGACAAATGAACCAGATAGAGAGAGCCATTTTTAGAGCTGAGGCAGCATGTGCTGCATTTATCCTCCACCTACCAATGTAACAGTGCAGCCGCCAAATCCTCCACCAGTCATCCTTGACCCAAACACACCCTCAACTTCCAAGGCAGCTTCCACTAGCTGGTCCAGCTCACTGCATGACACATCATAGTCAGCCCTGTAAATCATTATACATTATTGCAAAATTTGATTTACTAAGAGAAAGGAGAGTACAGTACTGTTCTCTTACAAAATGTTTCCAGGCTCTAATGGAAATTTTGGTTGGATTTTTTCCTACAGTCTCATTCAACAAATAATTTATATAAAGATAAAATATATATATCTGGTTCCATTTTGTATGTTCAAGCATTACACTATACAATAAGTATTGGAAAATATTTGAATCGTGAATGTACAACAAAGTGAATAACAGTCATTATACACTCCAATCTGGATGGAATGTACAGTATATATAAATATCTTTATACAGTATAAATTTCATTATTAATTTATTTATTATGCACCTATACCCATCCCATTGGGAGGGGTAGAAAGGGTTACAAAGGCACATAATGGGTTTGGGAACTGAATCCCATAGTTCATTTAGCTAAGCAAGTGACAATCTTATAAAGAAAGAGGAAATAACTGAATACAAGAAACATGTAAGAATAACCTTTCTAAGTACAGAAGTGTTTATGTGGTAATGTGTGTGAAATGATGCTAGAAGCAAAAAAAATTGCTTAACACTTTGTAGGTGTTGACCAAACCACACACTAGAAAGTGAAGGGACGACAATGTTTCACTTTCTTGTGTGTGGTTTGGTCAACATATTTCAGCCACATTATTGTGACTCCTCATCTGCACTTTGTAGGTGGCAATGAAGGATTTAAGAAAGTGAGACAGTGTAAAGATGATGTTTTTATAATTGAATAACCCAAAGAGAAAGTTAAAGAAATCAATATACAGTATAGTTTTCACAGAAATGGTGAAACTTCATGGTAAAGTCATTATTGCTTGCTTACACAAATTTCTATTAACCAGCTAAGGTTTATGGCTAAGAAATGTTCTCACCTGAGTGAATTATGCGATTCAGTCATTAACTTTCCAAACTGTGAATAATCTGCTTTCTTGAGTACAGACACTGCTTGCTGCGTCCGGTGGATCTCCGAGATAGCATGTCGGGCTCTTCTGTACACTTCTTCACTCAAAGAAGATTTGAGAGCTGAAAAGCATCTTACTTAATAACTATTTCTTAATTAAATATTTGTAATAAATTAAAATATATATACATATTTTTTAATAGTTATGAGGTTATCATCAGTTCATACCAAGCAGTCTATATAGAAGTCAAATCAGGCATAAATACTGACAATACTACCCTCATCTGAGTAGATGAGGGTAGTATCGTCAGCAAACACTATAGGTTTAAGGATGTTAGAGACATTAGGCAGAGCGTTGATGTATATAAGAAATAAGAGAGGTCCTAGGATGCTGCCCTGTGGCCTATACTTAGACAAGAGACTCAACTTTAGCACCACATACAACACATAACCAAGAAAGTCTCAAAAACGGTTGGTATACTCTCTAAAATCATATATTATGTTCCAAACTCTGCTCTCCTCTCACTATACTATGTGCTAATCTATCCCTATCTTACATATGGTGTCTGTGCATGGGGGTTCAACTTCTGCAAACCACCTCAATCATCACCCAGCAAAAATCAGCTATCAGAATAATAACAAACTCAGCTTTCTGACAACAATCAGCCCCCCTTGTTTAAATCCCTAAACATGCTAAACATAAACTCACTTCACACATTATCTTGTGCATTTACATTTACAAAACCCTGTTCTTAAATGCAAACCATGCTCTGAAACTCTTCGTGGACACAAGTAATAGAACCCATAATCATCATACCAGAAATAAATCTCTTTGATATCCCCAGATTCAAACTTAATCTGTGTAAACACACTACTGTATTCAAATAAAGGGACTTTGTTTATGGAACTCACTCCCTAACGAATTGAAAAGCTGTCCAACTTTTGTCTTATTCAAAAATAAAACCAAAAAGTACCTAATTTCATCTTCATGGTTTCCTACCTAGTGCCTTATACCCACACTGTATCTGGTGCAACCCAATCCCCCAACATATGTACCTAAGCCATACAATCTTTACCTTTGTTATCATTGCTATCACCGTATATCATAGTTGTCATATTGAGTGCATATTTTACTGCATTATTCCTTGAAATGATCCCCAAATTGTGCTACAATGAACCAGTTGATAACCCCTCAAATTTTACCATAATGTACCTACAAAGTTTCTAATCTTTGTCATTATTGTGTGTTAATCTAATCTTTGTGTATTGTGTCAAATTTTCTTACAATGTATCTGTAATTTTTTTTTGTCAATTTTGCTGGAAATTACCTGCTTAAAAATATCTGTTAGATTAAGGACCTGCCTGAAACACTATGCATCCTAGTGGTATTACAAGAATGTATACAAGTAAATAAATAAATAATAAATATACTGTATTAAGAAATCAAATCATGCAGGTAATATGACAGGAGTGACTTATATAAAGCAAAGCACAAAGGATAATCAAGGGGCACATTAACACACACAATATGTGAATTTCTCCGAGAGAAGGACTTTTTAGTCAATAAGGAAGTGGCGAGTCATGACCAAGCAAAAGCCCCTCAAACAGCAAGATGATTGACAAATCAGTTTATGTGATGCAGTAGACAGTTTTTACAAGACACTTAAAATCTTTAAATAAATCTGGCAGACAATTATTTAGGCATGATACTGGGTTAAGTTACAATGGTCATGTGGTTGTACGTTAATAAATACACAGATCCATAACACTGATACAGAGAACAGTATAACTACGGTACTACTGAAATGTAAGAAATAAACAAACAAACATTCATTAATGAGCAATTAAATGTTGAGTGTCTATATTATGTACAAGCAAACTGTATTTATTTTTATACTACATATAAATTGAACACTTTAATTCAGATATATTCAACCTTCAATCTGCAGAAATTTATTAAATTTGCATGAATGTAGCAAACATGACTTTAGAGCTACTTGCTTGGGCTTTGATACAATCATTTTAATTGCACAAGATTCATAGTTTTATAGTTTGTGTATGAGGTTTATGGAACTGAAAAATTATTGTTTTAGTGAATGATGCCCAAAACACTGTTGGGCATCATTGCTTTATGAGAATTGATGAAGTGCTAAGCTGTGTACAAACTGATTAAACTGTAGCTATCCACCATATCAGGATGACTATTGAATTAACACTGCAGAACTGTTATAAAAATCTCATGTATCTTCTTAATTTCACTTGTATATAACAAATTTTTAACACTACAACTATTTGATAAACAGCAGGGCTTTCTTACTTTCTAAATCTTGCAGCGTTGCATCCCGTAGACTCTCTTTTTTCATGGCTTTAGCAGCTTCATGACACTGTTTGCGACGAGTAGGATATTCAGTTCCGGAAAGTGTATGACGCACATTAGAGTTGATGATGACAAATGAGACAGAGGGGTCATTCAGTGGCACCAATGTTGATTCTAGCGATCTGTTAATAATGGAATTTTGGAATAATAATTGAAATTTATTAATGACTGCAATAAGTTCAACTGGGAAATTGACTCCAACAATTTTTAGTACAGTACAGTGGAACCTCGACTTACGAATTTATCGAGTTACGACCCCAATTTCGTCTGCAAATTTGACCCGACTTACGACCCTTGCCCTGACTTGCGACTTTGTTTATCCACATATGGGTTAACCGTGAGCGTGGCGCACTTCAGTTTACCACTGTCTCGCCAAGTGACGATCACGCTTGAATTCTTTGTACTCGCCTAGTTGTGCTTGCGGGGGTTGAGCTTTGGCTCTTTGGTCCTACTTTGGCTCTTTTTTTTTTTTTGTAAAGAATTAATTGTTTTTGTGCTTTACTTTTGTTCAAAAACCAAAAATTATTATATATCATGCTATAGGTCCCAAGAAAGTCAGTGGTAAGGTTCAACCTACGAAAATAGTTGAGAGTAGAGGCAGTAGAGTATGTCTCTTTCTCATTAAGAAAATGTGTGAAGCATGGGAAGAACTGCAAAGTTTTGTTGAAAAAACTCACCCAGATAAAGCTGTAGCAGGCCGTTGCATTGAATTTTGAATGACAATGTGATGTCTCACTACAGACAAGTGTTAAAATGTAGGGAAAAACAAGTGTCTTTAGACAGATTCTTAGTAAGACAAGCAAGCAGTGAGCCACAACCAGGTCCTAGTGGTATCCCTGCAAAACATAGGAGAGTACCTCAAAGAAATCGTTGTTGTTGTTTTAGATTTAGCTACTCAGAATGAAATGTCCATGTAGCACAGGCTATGGTGAGCCCGTAACAAAGAAATCATCACTGCCTGATGTTATAATGGAAGGGGACTTCCCTTCCAAACACTAACACCTCTCCTCCTCCCCCCTCCTCACCGTCTTTCATACACCAACAAGAGTCATCAATAAAGGTAAGCTATAACTTGTTCATACTATAGTATAGTATAGTATAAAATATATGCATGTATTATGTATGAATGTACAGTAGTTTGAAGTTAATATTTTTGGGAGTGTGGAATGGATTAATTCAATTTACATTATTTCTTATGGGAAAATTCGTCTAGAGTTACAACCTGTCTCTGGGAATGGATTAAATTCATAAATGAAGGTACCACTGTATTTTAATACTTTTAAAATCCTGTCTTAGGTGAACTTTTATATATAGTCAGCAAAATATTAACAACAGAAACCAAGGGGAAATTACAAATATATTTCAATCATTAAATACTTTACAAGAGAGGCAGGACGTAATAATTTTTACATTCGTCTTTTTTTAAAGTTGGCACAATTGCAAGATTTTAAAATCAATATAGTAACTAAGCCTGAAGATCCCACAGAAATTTACAGCATAAAAAACTCTGGGAACACACAAACTCAAGACAATTATGTACCAATGTAAATATTTTTATAATCATTTTTATAATCATTAAGAATACCTGCAGTCAATAAGAAGAGCATATCCTTCTCTTGCCATAGTAGAGATGAACTGGTCCATGATCCCACAAGGCATGTTTGCAAAATCATGCTCGGCTTTCTGACAAGATAATGCCTTTTCCTTTAAGCTGAAATGACAAAATCAATTATACTATATTTAAAATGTTTATTTGTAAGACATTTGAAATCAGTGGCCAAATTGAAGAAATTTATTTTATATGTTTATTCTATAAGTACAGAAGTTTCTTCAAATACATTGATAACAAATATATACAGTACTGAATATCAAGCTTTCTGTGTAAATTCAATCTTATTTCTGAGCAGGACACTTAGTTGCTCTCTGAGGCAAGATTCTACTGGTCCCATAGATAGGTTTGTAGTAAGTGTATCTATTGTATCAGGGTGGAGCTATTATCGTACCGGATGGATGCTCGCTTGACTGTTATTGTTTGGTGACCGGCAGATCAGCTGTGTCGTGCATATATACAGGTCAGTAGAATAGGTACCCTCTTTATTTCTGTTGCCCTAACTTTAGCAGAGATGTGTAAATACTTCATTCAAAATGATCTGCTACCAGTAATCTTAGCCAAATATCCCCAGTTTGCTAACTGTAGATAGTAACTTTTGACACTAAGTGATTGTAACCTATCCACCACTGCCCACTGGATGGGGGGGCGGTGTGCAGGGCAAACATATCAATTATAGTAAAGTAAAGTAAATTTTATTCAGGAAAGTATATACATAGTTGATTAACAAATATAATGTTGGATAAAACCATAGAGCTAATGTTGTGTAATGTGGTGGTATGGTTTCCCATTGTTGGGGAAAAGAAGTCTGTCAGTCTTTACATAGTGGTGGTATGTGATGGTGATATATGGGTATGGTGGTAGTGGTTTTTGTATCAGATTTTACCATTGTTACCCCCCTTTTGCCCAAGAGGCTTAAAATGGCATGGTAATTATCATGGGGAAAGTGTTAAGTTGGTATGACTACGAAACATTGGGAAAGGATAAAAGGACAGGATGGGAGCTGGGATATTAAGACAATGAAAGAATGGCGCCCAACCATTTTGACCATCAGGAATTAGACGCTAACATGCAAGATGCAAAAACATCGTTATTTCGACTAGTCAAAGTGGATAGATCTGATGGCTGAAAATTAATGTTGTTAATTATACAACACTAAGTAGAAGCTACACAAGCTCTGAAGTACAGTACTGTAATAGTGTAAGGCAGATTCCAAGATATGGCCAATATCTCAGAATCTACCTTACACTATTACAGTACAGTATTTCAAAACTTGTGTTTTGAAACTCAAGGACCATTATGAATTTAATTCTTGTAACTTTTGAAAGAATTGTAAATTTAAATTTATTAACTCTGGAGCAAATCTCTCTCTATGGATTGATTGTGAAGAGACTGATGTGAACATTTCCTAGCATCAGGGCATGTGTGTGTGTGTGTAGATAGTCTGTTGCAGCTATGCTTATTAATTTTCAAGTTAACATTAAAGAGTTTTCCCCTCCTACCCAATATCATGTTAAATAGTTTTAAAATCTGCCACTTGGTGGCTACATAACAAAATAACTACAGTACAGGTACTAACATATATAAATGATGAAAGTTTCAAGCTGGTGCATAAAGGTGTTTGTCAGATATTGCAAAGATACTAACCAAATTGTAATCACCTTATGTAAACAATAGGGTATTCTACCAGGGATGCAAAACTAATTAACTTGTTATATGCCAATACAAAATAAATTACTTCAAACCATAACACAATACATACCTTGGGGCTTTGGTTCCAGTGATGGCCTCAAGGAAAGTGTAAGTTGCTACTTCAAGTGAAGCACTACTGGAGAGTCCACCTCCAAGTGGGACTGATGTAGTCACTACTGCATCAAAGCCACTAACAACTCCTGCAGCAAGGATTAGCATCATAGAAGGGGTGAGGGCAAACAACGTACTGTATTCCTTAATACAGTCTAACTGAAAAATCTTGACTGATAGCTGAAGCCTTGATAAGTCTTATATTCAGGTAAAGCTTGCATCAGATATGTATTTTTCTTTTTTAATAAATATCTGATGCATACTTTTTTCTTTTCTGTTGGTTTAGGGTGATAAGACAAGCAAGACATGAAATATGAAAAAATAAAAACATTATTAAAGATAATGTCATGGTTTTATTAAAACATCTACAAATATTTTGTAAACAAAAGTAGTGAAGGTAGTGGCTCTGAGCCACAAAAATGCTTGTTACAAGAGTCCAGCCCAAAACAACTTCGAAGATCAGTTAGACTACAACAAAAAAGGGGAAGCGAAAACCTCACAAACGTTGGCATTACACAGAATAAAACAAACACTAAACATTATCTATGTATTACGTATAGTCAAAACATATTTAAATGAGATGCAGTAAGAGTTATCTAATTCAAACCTTAGTAGTTCAAATCTGTGTAATTTGGTCTGTCAAATCCAAGCTCATGTTTCCTTAATTCAGACAGAAATCTGAATTGCTGGGTTTTGCTGGGGCAAAACCAGCAAAACTGTTTTTTTATAACAAAAATTACTTTAAATTATGCATTAATAACATAAAATAAAGAAAACAAATAAATAATATTAAAAAAATAAACAGTGATTGCCTAAACTACATGTAAAGGCTGTGTAGTGTAGTGTATTTCTCTGCTAAAATAAGATTTTTTCTTCAAGTGGACCTGTCCTGACCCCATCAACTTACTCACCCCGTGTGTTTCTTCTCCTCTCTTGTGATACTACAAAGTGGCAGTCCATAACTGAACTATTTTCCTTTCTAACACTGTTTCTTTAATACAAACATTGATCATTTTTTGCCAAGAACATGTTTGGCAGCAGCAATAAAAGTGGTGGTGTTAAGAGGAAGCAAGTTACGCTATCAATTAAGGATAAACATCTATTGATTAAACGAGTGATTTAACTTTGTGAAAATGGCTCTACCACTGTGTGTTGCGAAAAAATTTGGGACAGACATAAGTATCGTCTGGTACTACAAAAATTATATCTTAAATAGTGTACATGCAATACAAGCACTTGAACAGTAATTTTAGGGTCAGGATAGGTAATGTAATGTTATGGTAATGTACTCCAACCACCAAACCTCCCAGAGGAGCCAGAACACATGCACTACCCTGGAAGAGCTAACCAGAGAAGACAGCTCAGCCATATGCAGTCAAAATAAACAAGTAGTCAAGGCACACACAATTAGATCACTAGAATAACATGCATGTGAAGCAGGTCGGGAACAAACAAGCACAAGTCTCCACATAAGACAGAGTTCAAGAAATGGCAGACAGTTAGCTAAACGGTGATGCTTGAAGAGCCAAGAGGAAGTAGGTAGAGTGCACTGAAGTGCACCATGCACTTGAATGACTGGGGTAGCTACCCAGGACCCTCGGGTCACAGTGGCTGCCATCTGCTCATGAGGGTTAAGTAGAGTTAAACTTTAGACAGTGAGTGCATACATAATTTAAATCAGGGTTGCAAATATTGTTCAAGCAGTTGCTTGTTTTAGTGTGCCCTACCTTTCTGGAAATTTATATTCTTTGGTAATGAAGTTGATCTAGTATTTCCCCTACCCTATACCTCTATTGAAGGAGCCACATTCTGGTAGGCACTCCTGATTCAATACAGTTTTTGGGGGGCTCTCCCAGAAAAATGTTCGAGGATAGACTGGAAAAGTGAACACTTGGATTTATCTGGAACATAACCAGACTTTTCCTATATTCATTTCAGAATAATGTATAGTTTTGAGTTACACAAGTTTAAAAGAAATATAATCCCTCCAAAAATTGAAGGCTGCCTGAACTTGTGATCAAGGGTTTCGAGTCAATAGAATTTTATCTTGATCATTCATAGCTGTATTAATGACCCTGCCATGGACATTTAAAAAATGCATTTGATGCTGGTGACATTATGTTGCCCTGCCTAACTAGATACTATTCTGTTAAGGGACACAGTGCGATCTTACTTTGGGAAGCAGCAGAATTTTCTCATCAGAAGTTTTTCACATACATTACAGTAAACTTTATTCTTGCTCCAAACTTTCTGTAGTTTTGTCTGTAATTACAACAATGACATGTGGTCTCCTAATACCAGTACACTACTCTCCTAGTACAGAATCCTCAAAAAGCAAGAAGGATAGTTTCACAAATTTTGCTTGCAAAATTTGAAGAATACCGATGCCTGGGGCACCTGACAGCTGGGTGGACAGCGCTTCGGATTCGTAGTCCTGAGGTTCCGGGTTCAATCTCCGGTGGAGGTGGAGACAAATGGGCAAAATGTTTCTTTCATCCTGATGCCCCTGTCACCTAGCAGTAAATAGGTACCTGGGAGTTAGACAGCTGCTACGGGCTGCTTCCTGGGGATGTGTAACAAAAAGGAGGCCTGGTTGAGGACCGGGCCGCAGGGAAGCTAAGCCACGAAACCATCTCAAGATAACCTTAAGATACTATACGGTATTGTATTGGCTACAGTAATTACAGGTACTTTGCTTTTTATATACAGCACTGGTAACAATGTTTTGTTAACAGAAATTCCTTACAGTATTGTAAAAGTGATCTTCAAAAAATGGGATATATTAGTAATAAAGTTTGTCATTAATACTATAATTATGATCTAAGAAGAAATTAATTTTCTCACTATGTTTACCATATAAAGTACAGTACATACTGTAATTCTGACTAACTTATCCTGTATTGTAATGTAGATATTAATAAAAATGGGTTGATCTACTTACTGTACCTTTCAAGTTTATCCTATTGAAGAAATTCATACAAAAAATTTCATACCAGGAAAATTGGCAACAACTCCTTTAATGTAATTGGCCCAATTTGGTACACCAGGTTTGAGAGGAGCTGATTGAGAAGGGGCTTCAAATTCCACTTGTAGAGGTTTATCAGCAAATTCCGAAAGTGTGTGCACTCGACACATCCCTGACTCTGTCTTCCTCCCAATAATAACAGTTACTAGTGGAAGAGCCTGCAAAATAAACCCTTAATTAATGTAATACAGTACTGCATATTAAAAGGTTAACATATACTGTACTGCATACCTAAATTTCATGTAGAGTTGTTACACTACATGTATTTTGTATTTTAGAGTACAATACAATATATGAATGTTTCCATCATATATAGTCATAAAGTCTTTATATTATACAACTACTGTAATAATAACATATGAAGGATACAAATTACTGTACTTGATAAGATAATACATGCATGAGTGCTGGAGTGTTTGAAGTGAAGGTTAGACATTCATATGTGAATGAGTTTGGTTGTGTTGGAGCAGCCAACCAAAATACTGAAGGAACTACCTTGCATAGGCCAATAGGCCTTATGTAAATTTCCTTTTCTGGGGGGGAAGGGTAGGCCCTTGTGGCTTCTTGAATCAGGGAGCTACTGGAACTCATCCAGAAATTGGGGTTTCATTACATTCAATGCCAGTATTTTCTTATATCTTATGTTCTCATACATTTGCCACACTGATGTTATAAGAATAAAGTGTGAAGTCTTTTTAATTGTGACTATCATTAAGTTATGTGGATAGTATAGGACAATTTTTATCAAATGTATCTTTCAAAGTTTAGTTGAACAAATTCATATGATCCAATGTGTCCTACTAAAGTCAGAAATACTGACAGCAGCTTATACACATTATTTCTCAGATGAAATGCTCAACTATTTATTATCTAATCAAATAGATATGATCGCTATCAATAACGCATCTGGTTCACTCTACGAAACCAGGAGAGCTGCGGCTCAGAGATCCATCATAGAACTGGGAAAACTAAACAAAAAGCAGAGGGGCAACAAGTGATGTAACTGTTTGAAGGAAATTAGGTACTCTTAGTAAAGCAGAGCAAATAAGTGTTTCTGATGGGTAAATTTCCTGACTAAAATGTGCCTGGCCACCACTAGATAGTAATCAATGTCACCTAAAGTTTGAGCAAGCCTGCCACCTCTCTCCATGCCCATTATCAACTACTTTGCTTCTCATTTTCAATGCACCCATTGTCTCCCTAATCTTTGTCTGATACAGTATATCTGACAACACCATTTAGTATCTGTTCTTTGCCTTCTCTGCTATCCCAACATCATAATTATTTTTGGTTTGTAATACTTTTTGTCTTGTCATAACATCTTAAGTCTAGTTTGACTATTTGTTGCTCTAGATAAACTTCTCCATACTTCTTTTTATCTGATAAGTATTTTTAGTCCCATGGTTATCTATTTAGAGTCATTATTATTTGCCCTAATTGATGTACAGCAAGCCTATATGGAATACTATGTCCCTTCCATTTATTACATCAGAGGAGACAGTATCAGTACTACCCCTGATATAATAAGTGTAACAATTGCTAAATTAATTTCACTCTTAATTATCTTGCATGAGTTTCCTGCTCTAAGTGAATCACTTTAACTAAAATTTTGCTGTACTGTATGTCAATTTGTATACATAGTATACAGAGATTCATGTAACTTGCAATCATGTAAACAAATTAATGTTCACAAATTTGTTCATTTGAAATTTAGAAATAAAGTCTGTAAAATACAGTAGTGATGAAGAATACCTGAAAATAATGTTTTAATAATGTTGGTGTAAAAATATTCACAATATGATTCATTTTTGCAAACTTGCAGAGGTCACCCATGTCATTGAACCTGGAATGTTACAGAAATTTATTTCCAACTATATAATGCAGAAGCTATATACTGCTTCTGCGGTACTCTTTTATGCAGTATTCTTTTTAATTTATGAACCAATGCAATCAAAAATGTTATGTACTGTATTATAGAATATTATTTGATTGTTTGAGGTCAAGCTGGCCACTTTCTAATTTTCCCGAATTAAATAGAACCACATTAACCTAACATTCCTTAACTGAGCCTAACTTAATGCAGAGTTTCCTTAACAAAACATAACCTTGACTAACAAATCATTTATAGTGAGTCCAGAAAAGAATTGCAAACTGGAAATGGTGTGTATTAAAAGAGGTAACTTGTTCAAGAAAAATTATGCACCACCAAATGATATATACTGCACTCACCATGGGAAAAACAAAGCCATCATTATAATCAGTGTGCTCTCCAATGATATTGACTCTGCCTGGCGCTGAAACTGCTACATCTGCAGAGCCTCCATATGTTGCAGTGAAAACTGATTGGGCCTCAGACACCAATGAAGACACTTCAGGAATCTTGGAAGACATTTCTGAAATATGCATGTGTTTATTAACTACAGTAAATTATAGCAGGAGATAATGTGTCAATAATGACTGGATATATGTGCACCAACATCTTGTGTGAAGAAACACATCCACAGTTTTGAATCGAAGAGTAAGATGAAGAGAGAATGCTATCTGAATGTGTTGTTTCTTGGCCAATGCATCCATTCCATTCCTGTTTATCATGCTTTTCTGGATGGGGTAGGTAAGGTTATATCTGGTAAGGTAAAGACTATAATAAATTATATTTGGATATGCTAATGTGTGCAATTATACTAGATGTGTAAGGAAAAATTACAAAGTTATCACAGCTTTTGGCATTAAAACATCTACAAAAATTATACAGCAGAGATTAACCTGAATTTACCTGAGGGGCCACTATCTCTCAAGTGGCCTCAATGAGGACAGGAAGTTGGTGACTAGTTAAAAGTCCTGAAGATTTTATTGAGCTGGATTTTGAAACTCATCCATGTTATGGCATTTATGGCTTCTGCAGTATGCAGTTACTAAAGAGCATTTCTCAGTCTCCTGAACATTTATACAGTTCATATAAAGCTTTTCACAAGACTGCAATAAATTTTTATCCCACTACACCAAGCAGAGCTTTGTACCATTAGAGATTTATACTGGGTTGAGAAGTAGAACATAAATAATTCAGATCTAAGAGTTCACTGTTCTGCAGTGTGGAAGAAAATAAATAATATACATTATATATATATATATATATATATATATATATATATATATATATATATATATATATATATATATATATATATATATATATATATATATATATATATATATATATATATAATATATATATATATATATATATTTTTTTTTTCACTTTATTGGGGACAGGCAGTCTGTGTATATATACATGTTAGGCTTCTATCGAGCCCCCCCCCACAAGGTGGAACTACTGATCCTCCCCCAGGATACAACACCACAACAAGCACACTAATTCCTATATTATGAAGGACTAATTCATATTTATAATTTAACATAGGAGCGAATCAATTTGGAATGAAATATTTAAAAATATCGAAAATTCCTCTGCCTATGTACCAACGCTGTGTCAATATTTCATTCAAAATGATCTGCTACCAGAAATTTTAGCCAAATATCCCCAGTTTGCTAACTGTAGGTAGTAACTAAGAGTGATTTTTTTTTAGATATATACAAGAGTTGTTACATTCTTATACAGCCACTAGTACGCGTAGCGTTTCGGGCAAGTCCCTGGAATACGATCCCCGCTGCGAAGAATCGTTTTTACAACCAAGTACACATTTTACTGTTGAGTTAAACAGAGGCTACAGTTAAGGATTTGCGCCCAGTAAATCTTCCCCGGCCAGGATACGAACCCATGACAAAGCGCTCGCAGAACGCCAGGCGAGTGTCTTACCACTGCTCCACGGAGACAGGTAGACTGATTGTAACCTATCCACCGCTGCCCACTAGATGGGGGGCGGTGTGCAGGACAAACATATCAATTGTGACACTAGCTCTCCACATATGTCAGTTACTTATTTTAGAAACTGTACTTATGGTCGATCTCAAACCCATTGTTGATGTGACGACTTATACTGATTTTTGTAACTAGCTCATCAAGACTAACTTGCTTAGCTAAATGAATTGTGGGGTTCAGTCCCTGAGCCCATTATGTGCCTCTGTAACCCTTTCCACTACCCCCCACAAGATGGGTATGGGGTGCATAATAAATGAACTAAACTAAACTATTAAGCAAATCAGGCGTTGTTAACTAGGCCAAGCAGTGGGATTCTGTCTATTAGATACTGTACATGACTATATAACATAAATGTCATCATACATGGCACCATTACAGCCCCGCTCCTGGGCCAGGTAAGTCTACTACGGGCTCACCATAACCCGTGCTACTTGCAACTTGTTCTTCAGAGTTGCTAAAGTCTAAAACAACACCATACAAGACACCACCAGTGATGCGGACCTTTGTAACCCGCACCAACACCCACCTGCGGCCACGGGCGTCACACGGGTGAGGTGCCACGCTGACACTGCCTCCTCTCATCTCACTCCTTATCAACACCTGCCTAACGTACGACACCTTCAGTCATCAGCCTAATGTATGATACATCTGCCTAACGTACGACACCTTGAGTCACCTCCCTAATGTACGACACCTTCTGTCACCAGCCTAATGTATGATATGTCTGCCTAACGTACGACACCTTCAGTCACCTGCCTAATGTATGATACGTCTGCCTAACGTACGACACCTTCAGTCACCTGCCTAATGTATGATACGTCTGCCTAACGTACGACACCTTCAGTCACCTCCCTAATGTACGACACCTTCTGTCACCTGCCTAATGTATGATACGTCTGCCTACCGTACGACACCTTCAGTCACCTGCCTAATGTATGATACATCTGCCTAACGTACGACACCTTCAGTCACCTCCCTAATGTACGACACCTTCTGTCACCAGCCTAATGTATGATACGTCTGCCTAACGTACGACACCTTCAGTCACCTGCCTAATGTATGATACATCTGCCTAACGTACGACACCTTCAGTCACCTGCCTAATGTATGATACGTCTGCCTAACGTACGACACCTTCAGTCACCTGCCTAATGTATGATACATCTGCTTAACGTACGACACCTTCAGTCACCTGCCTAATGTATGATACGTCTGCCTAACGTATGACACCTTCAGTCACCAGCCTAATGTATGATACGTCTGCCTAACGTACGACACCTTCAGTCACCTACCTAATGTATGATACGTCTGCCTAACGTACGACACTTTCAGTCACCTGCCTAATGTATGATACGACTGCCTAACATACGACACCTTCAGTCACCTGCCTAATGTATGATACGTCTGCCTAACGTACGACACCTTCAGTCACCTGCCTAATGTATGATACGTCTGCCTAACGTACGACACCTTCAGTCACCAGCCTAATGTATGATACGTCTGCCTAACGTACGACACCTTCAGTCACCAACTAAATGTATGATACGTCTGCCTAACGTACGACACCTTCAGTCACCTGCCTAATGTATGATACATCTGCTTAACGTACGACACCTTCAGTCACCTGCCTAATGTATGATACGACTGCCTAACATACGACACCTTCAGTCACCTGCCTAATGTATGATACGTCTGCCTAACGTACGACACCTTCAGTCACCAGCCTAATGTATGATACGTCTGCCTAACGTACGACACCTTCAGTCACCTGCCTATTGTATGATACGTCTGCCTAACGTACGACACCTTCAGTCACCAACTAAATGTATGATACGTCTGCCTAACGTACGACACCTTCAGTCACCAGCCTAATGTATGATACGTCTGCCTAACGTACGACACCTTCAGTCACCTGCCTAATGTATGATACGTCTGCCTAACGTACGACACCTTCAGTCATTTAATTGCCTAATGTATGATACATCTGCCTAACGTACGACACCTTCAGTCACCTGCCTAATGTATGATACGTCTGCCTAACGTACGACACCTTCAGTCACCTGCCTAATGTATGATACGTCTGCCTAACGTACGACACCTTCAGTCACCAACTAAATGTATGATACGTCTGCCTAACGTACAACACCTTCTGTCACCAGCCTAATGTATGATACGTCTGCCTAACGTACGACACTTTCAGTCACCTGCCTAATGTATGATACGACTGCCTAACGTACGACACTTTCAGTCACCTGCCTAATGTATGATACGTCTGTTTAACGTACGACACCTTCAGTCACCTGTTTAATGTATGATACGTCTGCCTAACGTACGATACCTTTAGTTATCTACCAAATGTATTATACGTCTGCCTAACGTATGATACCATCAGTCACCTACCAAATGAATGATACTTCTGCCTAACGTACGACACCTTCAGTCACCAACTAAATGTATGAGACTTCTGCCTAACGTACGATACCTTCAGTCACCAGCCTAATGTATGATACGTCTGCCTAGCGTACGATACCTTCAGTCACCTACTAAATGTATGATACTTCTGCCTAACTTACGATACCTTTAATCACCTTTCAAATGTATGATACTTTTCCCTAACGTACGACACCTTCAGCCACCTGCCTAATGTACGTTACCTAGTTGCACTCACCTAGTTGTGCTGGCGAGTGTTAAGCTTTGACTCTTTGGTCCCACCTCTCAACTGTCAAAAAACTGGAGAGAATGTTACGTTAAATCCACGTTACCTATCTTTGCCGGCTGCAAATATCTACGTTTTCTAAGTATCGGACTCGATAGGTTAAATGGGTTACTTGGATTTGTACATTTGTTAGAGATTAGGTTAGAAGGCTGTATATTTTACAGAGTGGCAGAGCAAGATAACGGGCAGGCTTCACCTGCCTGATTTACCTGAGATTGTTGTTGTTTTAGATTCAGCTACTCAGAATAATAAGTTCCAGTAGCACGGGGTATGGTGAGCCCGTATGTGGAGGCTCTTTGGAGCTATTATCTGTATCAGTGGCTGATACTAGAGATCTGGCGATGGATGGGGGACTTCATGATGGTTTTCAGCCCCTGAAGGCTGGCTATACCAGTTATGGAGCTGGTGGGATTAGTGTAGACTTCTAGGTTTTCCGTTTTTTCTTTGCCTGCGACTTTGGCTGAGCAGTGCTGTCGTTGGAGTTTGGTGACGTGGCCTCCATGAGGAAGTCTTGTACCGAGTAGGTGTCGTATTTGTGGTGCGGCGGTGGAGCTCCTACTATGATCTCCTCGTCTGAGGAGTCCGTAACCTCCGTAGTGGGCGTTTTGGTTTTTCGCCTCGTAGCCTTAGGTAGGCTCAGGTGTCGGAGATTGGTGGTTGTAGCTATTTCAGGGGCGCTGGTGATGCTGTTATCGTTTGTAGATAGCACGTCGACCTGAGAGCCACCGTCTCTATATAGGTGCCTCGACGGGGACGGGAAGCCGGCAACTTGTCAGAGTTGTTTGTTCTTGATGATTAAAGGGACAATTCTTAAAGATAGCTAGCTAAATAATCATTTTGTCTAGAGCTAATTACATCAGGTTAAGGAAATTAAAACGATAATATAAACGTTTTGCCTAGTATTAACCCGGCCCTAGTTAACTGATGGCAGTGCAACCTGCAACTGTTTAAACATGAAAGTTAACCCATCGTTGAGTTCGTTTTCTTTGAAGGTCTCAGTCCAACACCCAATGACCATATATGCAAAATGATTCATCTTTTAAATACGGGATATAAATGTCTTATATTCAAAAATAAAAATACCTAAAGATTAGACTACTAAATATCCTAAATTAATTTTATGTAAAAAGTTGAATTCTCTGGATTCATCAACATTTTTTATATAAACCAACTCATAATAAATGTTTCTTATTGTATTAATTATGGCATAATAAGTGTTATAATATTGTAGTTGAGAGGTGAGTGTGTGGGGGCGAGGGAAGGGTAGGACCACACAGATGTGGTGAGTCAAGTCTCCCCTGTAAACAAGTATTCATCATGGCCTCCAGCAAAGGTGGACCTCAAGTTATTGACATCTCCAAGCTTAATTTGGAGCAGTTGACGACGTTAAAAAACCAGCTCGATCAGGTATGTTGTGAACTGTCTAACTCGGGAATAATTTTAGTAGTTAGTTAATACAAGGAATGGTTGGGTATTGAGAGAGGTGGGGAGCCACACGCCGCCTCGGTACTGTGGCGGTGGTGAAGCCTCTCTGACTTATCCAGGTCCGAGGCAGGTTCCAGACAGGTCCGAGGCAGGTCCCAGGCAGGTCCCAGGCAGGTCCCAGGCAGGTCCCAGGCAGGTCCGAGGCAGGTCCGAGGCAGGCCCGAGGCAGGTCCGAGGCAGGCCCGAGGCAGGCCCGAGGCAGGCCCGAGGCAGGCCCGAGGCAGGCCCGAGGCAGGCCCGAGGCAGGCCCGAGGCAGGCCCGAGGCAGGCCCGAGGCAGGCCCGAGGCAGGCCCGAGGCAGGCCCGAGGCAGGCCCATCTAATTTTTTTTTACTTGAACCAACTGATATTTATATCCCTCCAAGCTCATTCTGTCTAATCTGCACTTGAAACAATCAAGGGATCTCACGTCTATTATGTTACCCGGTAATTTATTCTATAAATCCACAACCCTGTTACCAAGCTAGAATTTACCCAAGTCTTTGCAGTCCCCGTGACACAGTGGTAAAACACTTGCCCCATGCTTTGCAAGTGATTTGGCCAGGGTTCGTATCTTGGCCGGGAAGGATTGACAAGGCACCAATCCTTAACTGTAGCCTCTGTTCACCCAGCAGTAAATGGGTACCTGGTTGTTAAACAATTTTGCGGGTTGTATTCTGGGAAAAATTAGGATTAAGAACCTGCCCAAAACGTTACGCGTGCTAATGGCTTTACAAGAATGTAAGAACTCTTGTATATATAAATAAATCTAAACCTATCCAATTTATATCCATTGGTTTGTATTGTGTTAATATATTCAATACCTTCCATTCACCTGGGCTCTAGGAGTCTTGAACTGTGGACCTCGCGCGTGTGAGGCTGAAGCTCTATCGACTGGGCTTTCAATACCTTACTAATGTCCCTTTTGTCATGTCCATTCATCCACTTGTTCACTTCAATCATGTCACCCATAATTCTTCGCTTTTCTAGAGAATGTAAATCAAACTTTTTCAGTTTCTTCATATGGAAGGTTTCTAATTTGTGGAGTTAACTTTGCTCTACTACACCAGACACGTTCTAGTGAATCTATGTCCATAGAATAGTATGGCGTCCAAAATTGAACTGCATGGGGGGCCCTAAATAAACTAAATTAACAAAATAAATGGGGCCTAATGAGAGAAAGATAAGGTATACCTAAAGAATAACGCCAGGTGTTTTTTTGCTAATGCTTCTAGAAATAAATCCCAGTGTCCTATTTCCCTTATTTCAAACATTTACTCATTGGTTTTTTGGCTTTAAATTCTTACTAATTATGACTTTGACTTTTTTTCAATCTCGACACCATCCAGCTGATATCCTGTAATTCTATCATAATTACCTAGCCCTATAACCATATATTTGTCAGCATTAAACTGCATCTGCCAGTCTTTTTACCATTTCAAAACCCTATCTAGATCATCTTGAAGTGATTTTGAGTATTTTGAATACATTTTCCATACAGGGTATAGTATTGAACGATATTTTATAATGTTAGTAACAGGAGTGCATCCAGGAGGAAGAAACATCAAAAGTGAAACTTTTTGAAGGATGTAGTTGTGGGAGTTGTGATGCCTTCTCTGTTGGGGTCACATTTAGCTAGAGATCCAAAATGTTGAAGGTGAAATCATGAGGATTTTTGTAAGATGTTATATTTTGTATTGCTACATTTAATTTTGTATTTCTCTATTTAATAAAGTTGCTGTTAATTTAAGAAAATGTCATGAATGGTGATATATATTGCAATAATATACATAGTTATAATATATTTCATGTTATATTATTCTCTAAAGTGTGTTGTTTCTATGAGTAAATCTGATTTATTTCTTTACAGGAGATACAGTTTTTCAGCGAATCATTGCAGCAGTTAAAAATTGCTCAGTTGAAGTTTAATGAATCTGGAGAATGTGTTGAGAAGGTACTGTATATCCTAATGAATAAGAACAACATATTCCAAAAGACAATAGCACTGCGAGAGACTCGTTATCAGGAAGTTAAATAATGGGCAAGCTCTAGTTTCTTCAGCCATACCCACATGCTGTGCAAATACAATACATTATACTAATATGATGTTGCATCCTAAATGTATCACATATGATGTTGCATCCTAAATGTATCACACATGATGTTGCATCCTAAATGTATCACATATGATGTTGCATCCAAAAGTCTAAATACAGTAATCATTTTTAATCATTTGATTATGTCTTTGGGGATGCTCCAATATTTAATTTTTCCTCTAAGTACTGTGTTGTAATTACTAATGTTTACAATGAAATATAGGAAATACTTTTTACAAATACTGTATATCTATTACAAAATTGTGTTAAAACTGTAAAAATAAAGTAGTTCACATAAGGCTAAAAATTGTCATACTAGAAAATGGAAATGGCTCGCGAAAGTGACGTACTGTCCCATTTTCTGTCTTGGGTCCTCTGATAGGTTAGGAAAGGACACTTTAATTTGACCATTTTCTTGACGTTGGAAAATCTTACGACAGGCTGATTAAGTTGGTTTGTAAACAAAATATTAAAACTGTGGAAAGATCTATGTGCAGTATTAGAGTTTATGCAGATAAGTTTATTATTTTGGAAATATAGTGCATTATATTTAAGAAAATTTAGGTCTTTTTAGGTTTCATTATATATGCACATTTAGTAATTTTGTGTTTTAAAGTTTCATTTGCTTGGGTTTGACTTTGCATGGGTTACCCAGGAACTCAACCACTGCAAACTATCAGGTCTGTCAGCATCTGGAATACATCAAAAGAGAGATGTCTGTATCTACATGACAGTTTTGTACCTCAAGTGCATAAAACATGACCAGGCAGACTTTAAACCTAGTTTAGTATGTACAGAGCAATGTAACTTATCTTGTTTAAATTAATTACATCTATTTTTCACAGTTAACACCAGAAACTAGAGGGAAGGAGATGCTGGTGCCTCTCACAAGCTGCATGTATGTTCCCGGTACAATAGGCGATGCCGACAAGTTGCTGATTGACGTAGGCACGGGCTATTATGTAGAACGGGTAAGTTTTACATTGGTTACTCTTAATTGTCAAAGTTATTATAGTAATGTTGCCAAATAAGAAATTCTGCAGCAATGAGAAATGATACAGATAGTGAGAAAAATAGGGTTGTAATAATACTGTAATGAGAAATATGGTGGTAGTGGTGAAGAATGAGCAATAATGATTAGGAATGGGGTAGTGAGGATAACAACGAACATAGATGGTAATGAATGATAAAATTAGTAAGGATGATGAAACACAGGGTTATGAGGAATAATAAATTGTAGTAATGGTGATGAAAGAGAGACTAGTGGTGATGACAAATATTATGTGATGAATGGAAAAATAAGACCTTTTCATCACCACACTACCATGTCTGTTTATACAGTAATAAAGTGGATATAAAGCTTAATTTACCCTTAATATTTTTTAGGATGTAAATGGTGCAAAGGACTACTTTAACAGAAAGATTAAATTTGTGACTGAACAAATGGAGAAAATCCAGAAAATAGCATCTGAGAAGAGTAAACTAAGAGAAGGTAAGTAATTCTTGTTACTGTCTTGCCTTTGTGTATACTGTACACAGTGTACCTTTCCTTGGGAGAAGTAATTAGAACGTGACTGACCTCTTATGGCTCACCAAGACTTGCATTTCTGCAAAAGTTTTGGCATTTTTCACAATTTTTTGCTCCTCAAATGATGATAGAACACAGTTTTATGTACAAATAGACAACAAAATATTATATTTAGGATACCCCTTTTAAATATACTTGAAGGGAAGTTATATGGAAAAAGGGGGAACAAGTTATGGAAACGAATGTTTATCTGTCGGTCTCTCAGAGCTCAGGTGATGAACTAGTCTGGAGAAAAACTGAAATATTGCATGAAATGCCTGAAACAAAGACAGCCGCCACTCTCTCTTCGAGGGTTTCACCTTCTTGCGGTGAGGGGACTTATGATGCCCTGAGACTAGTTGGGATTGCCCCAGCTCCTCACTTTTGCCCCTTTCTGGGTATTGTACACGCAAAAAAGCCATGTAGGGTACTCAGTCAGTTCATCGGATAACACACCAGAGGGGTTGCCAGTGAAGGAAAGTTTGGGGGGGGGGGGGACTGGATTCCCCCGGTCCTCACTGGGGGGGGGGGAGGGGCACTCTCAGACAAATATTCAGGCTGCGACTTGGAGAAATGGGAGTCTTTATACTGGTAGAAGAATGTTAAATGAGATAGGACTCCCCTCTGTTAAAAAATGATGGGGGGGGGGGGCACCACTTGGGATGATCACCCTTTCCTGCACCAGCCAGCACTTTGCCTCTCCTGCTGCCCTAGTAGGTGGTATCCCTTGGCTCCAGGACCCAAATTTTATTAAACTAAATGCATGTGTTAAATGAATGCTCTTTAACTTGGGCTCATGAGATGGAAGGGCCGGGCCCTTATGTTGGTCTATGATGGAAGATCTGATTTTGTAGCTGTGGCTGCATTAGGCTAGGCCTAAACCTGACTTCATCTGTGATTCACCCTGCTGTTCCTCTCCATCTTCCAGCCACTTTCTTGGTAGGGAATGTCCCCCGTTGGTGATAACCTTGACACCTGGAATGAGTCCATCTTTGGTTGTCAAACTGCCACATTTGTCCTCTCCTTACTGAGGGGGGGGGGGACTAAGGAGCCAACCTTGTTATTTAACACGTGTTTACTTCAACTGTTGTTATATCCGTTTAGCCCTGCTGTGGCTTAAATACTTTTGTCACTGACCTTGCCTGCTCCTGATGATTTATACAGTCCATAAACACATTGGTGACATGGTGAATACAAATTACCTTAATCCCACCCAGACTGGCAAATGTCATCAAGGCCCATTTCTAAGGAAGTGGCCAACCAACTAGTTGGTCTGTCGCACATTGGCGAGACCCCCAATTTGGTTCTCAAAAGGTGTCCAGTTAAATGCTCACTCCCATGTAGTGACTGGGGACAGGAAACCTAAGACTACCATGAAGACATTAAACAGATCCTCGAAGCCGAAGGTTATTTTATCCTTAGGGTAGATATGTTTACTTGGGCCCCCCTTTATGATCATCATTGTCAGTCTCTTAGTTGTTGATTACTTTTGATAGTCAGGACCGCCTATCATCATAATTCTTGCTGTAGCCACATCCCCACTCCATGCCTCTGCAATAGGTCCTGGAAATATTTGCATGCAACCTCAGTGTAGTAGCAGTGTCCTTTTTACCCCCTTGTGTGGTGACTCAAACATTCTAGGTCAAATACCTATTCTGCCTTTTCCTGATTTTAGTATGCACAATAGATTTGAGCAAGCCATCCTCAGTCTGAAACCACAAGATCATGTATCATTCCTCTAAAGCGAGATGCCAAGTCTTTCCTCCTTTTCAGTTTGCTAAATGAACACCTAACTTTGACAATTGGATTATGAGGAGGAGGCATATGAAGCCACTGATAATTAAGAATCGCTTAAAGCACTCAAACCATAAATTAGGTTAAGGTGTAAGTGTTTTGTAGTATTGCGGGTATTGCTGCTAAAGTATCATCTTGATAACCCAGTAGTTGTTAAACTATGATTGTCACTATAACATTAATATTGTTCATTTACTTAATTTCAGATTGAAAATATGCCTTATGTAAAATTCAGTTATCTCGGTAACAGCTACTGTGTTCTTGCATTTTTAAATTACAGTACAGTACTGAACTATATTCCATTCACCTGGGCTGTTCAAATATTTAGAAGTGAATGAATATAGTTTTACTTGTGGAATGAGTTACACTACTGACTTAAAATACAGTAGTTTAATTTATTTGCAATAAGTTTTGTTTATTCCCAATAACACTGTATAGTGCAAGTCAAATACAGTAGTTTCATTGCAGTGTTTAAATTGCACAGACTTTCAAATTAGTTGACTTTATATTTTCAGTCGTAATGGACATGATGGAGGTAAAACTTGATCAGCAGTTAGCAGTCATACAGCAGCAACAGGCAGAAGCAGAGGCAGCCAAGGCGAAGGTAGCAGATGGAATGTGATAGCATACTGTGTAATGAACTGTGGAACTGTTGACTCGTTTAATATAAAGATTCCGATACTGAATTTCTTTCCGTTTGCACATCTTAAATACTAATGCTGAGCTAGTGTGTTAATAAATAATTATTTGCCACAACTTGAAATGTTTAATTACAGTATGTAAAACCTTTCTAGACTGGTAATTTTTTTGTTATACAATATTAAAAACATCAAATTTTATTATTACTGTATTTAAATATTAGCTGTTGTTAAAAGGGATGTGCAACTTAATACCACAAAAGGCATTTTTTATCTAAAAAATTTATTGCATTTTATTCATAACTTATATATTCTTGCCTTTTCATTAAAATTGGAAATGCTTTCTATATTTTAATACCCTTTACCTTAATAAAGATTTACATTTTTGTGACAATACGCACGGATAGCAACAATAAATATATATACTGTACTGTATATATATTTGGATAACTGTAGTATACAGAGGCTGAAGGTGAAGTGTGACAGTATGATGACCAGTTGAGTATTATGATGCATGCCGATTAATGTCGGTGTTGGGAAAGATCCAACCAGAGATGTGTATATCCAGAGCGTTTGTCACAATCATCAATAACACCAGACTCGGCATTTTTTAAAGCTTTCTATCCATGCTTCACCTGATCTTGTTTTGGACAGATTGCTTCTGGCAGGTTTAGAAACTCATTTGTTGCTCTAGGCATTCTTAAGTGATTTGTGGAAACATTTTAATTAAGATTATTTGAGAACCTCTTATGTACACTTAAGTGTTTATTGTAGAACTTTTTGGAATGTGGAATTGTTAGGGATAAGTTCTGATTACTTCCAAGATATATACTGTATGTATAATCATTTGGCACAAGCCTAACACACACACTTGCTTTATGGCATTATTGCTATGAACAGCCTAGTGTGTGGGAGCTCAAACTGTTTGGAGGCTGGACTTACATTTAATAAAGATTAAGAAAAAGACATACAGGTTTATAAGTATCCTCATCCATATACTTATATATTCATAAGTAATCCCATCCAATTAGGATGGATTGAAACTTCGTTTCTCCATTTACTGATGTGGTTTGGTCATATCTTCAGCCACATTATTGCGACTCAGTCTGCATAAATTACGCAGTCTTTCCCTACAAGCTGTTTCAGTACAATTACTAGTACATGATCTACGTACCCTCTTTTGCCACAATGTTTCTCTGTGTTAAATTATTTTATTATAGACTTCCATGCATCTATTCTGCCACAAACATTGCCTACTACACTTAGAAAGCTAGTAATATGCTTTTTCCTTTGTTTTTATTGGTATAATAAAACTTTCAATCTAGAACAAAACTCATCTTCTAGCAGATACTTAACCAAACACTGCCTTCAATAATTTTGGCAAATACTTGAACATCCACAGCCATCCTCACCTACATCATGAATATATCAATTGGCATTCATATCTAGCATACTCTTCTAACATCGTTAAATACAATCATGTCCACATTAGCACAATCACTTCCAAAGCACTTTCTACTATTTACACAATCACCAGCCACCCTGCTGTACATCTATCTTTCTTTCCAAAGATAGATTCTTGTATGAATATGTGATAGTAAACAATTAACTGTTCATGTCCATTCAATGTAAAGACTGCAATGCTGAAATTGAGATTATTTCTGCTAAAAGCTCTTCTTAAGTTTATAGCTAAAATTGCAATCAAATAAAAATACACATCCAGGCTTTGATACGAAAAGAATGCCTAACACTTTCCATTCACAATTAAGACAATATGGATATTGAAATGCTATGAACATCAAATAATTTATTCTATCCCGTAAGCCAACAGAAATTTTTTTATTCTAGAACAGTTGATACTATAGCATTAAGGTTTTACATAAAAACTCTACAGTATTTACAGAGATGATGCTTCCTGTCCCTCACTACCTGCGTTATAAATCCTTACCCCCAAGCAGAGGAGCCACCTGCATAGGGGTGCTATTCACGAGTTGCTGCTTCATAACAATTATCATTTGCCATGACAATAGTCATAATTTAAGACCTTTATATTCTGCAATGCATGCCAAGCCATGCCTTCATAATAATTCATACCTAAGCAGCATTAACAAACAATACATTTAATAACTTCAGCTACTGACATAGTCAGCCAATACTTCAATATTTACAATAGCTCCAAAACACAATCTCACTCTGTAGTTCAACACCGAAACAGGTTTTGGTATAAAGGCTTAAAATGCCATTATACAGGGAAACGAGGGACAGCCATGTGACAGTTCTGTGATAATATGCCCGGGGGAGGATTACATCAATAAAGCTCATTGTTTACTTCCACAAACAAGGAGTTCTCGGAGGAAAACTATTAAAATGTGTGGCTAAGTGTGTGTTACAAACGTAACAAATCAACTGTTATCCCTCAGGTGACAACAGTGGTGGGTAAATGAAGGTCATGAATATGAAAACAAAACATTCCTGTGGCATTACCTTCTATGGAGGCAGCAAGTGAATGAAGTGCCACAACACCAGTGAAGCTGCCATGTTCCCATACATACAGTCACAAGCTCACGTGTGATAAGTTGCATTACAATTGAAAGATAACTTCTTTAATATAAAAAGTGTCATACAATTCTTTTCATAAATTTGTTTGATACTGATGGACAGCTGATAACAGCAGTGTGAAATATGCATATATCGCAAGCGTTAAAATATAGATGGAGCAATTACTTGCTATGACTTATGGGGTGCATAAATAATTCAATAAAAAACAATGAAAATTTAAGAAAGATATATTGCCACTACAATGATTAAAGAGTAGACAGTACTAATTAAAACAAAAGGAAAATATTATACTAAAGATTTTCTCTAGATACCATGAAAGACTAAATGGGTTATATCTGATTAATCAAATTAGGCTGTCAAGTTTCTGATATCATCAGACCTTAACATAGTATGAAGAATTATTATTTGATAAAAGCCCTATGTTCATACAATTCTTGTTTTTATTGTGAAAATTTCCCTGAAATAGTGGACAATGTAATGTCTTGCATTTCCGAGATGACTCGTACATGACCAAAACAAAAAGCCTGTAATCCATAACACTAGAACCATTTTGATTAGACGTGATCACTATTGTATACAGCATTTTAAACCATGGTATGGTGGATATTGAAATTTTACATTCAAAATGCAATGGCCCAACTGACACTAAATGGGTAGCAAATAAATTTTTTGTAAATACAAATTTTCTGAATGTTAATTCACATTTTAATATATATATATATCAGTTTTATTTTAACCAGCAAGTCATGGATGAGAGAATAGGTCATGAATGTCAGCCCCTGGACCATTTCCTTAACAAACAGATCACAGAAACAGCATCTTATACACTATAGTAGTGTGTATGCATGTGTTTTGTGTGTGGTGTGTGTGTATATTGTGTGTACACAAGTCTTGGATTGTAGGCAATTTGAAACCAGGTTAACATATAGCATTTTTTATCATAAAAATACTGCTATGAAGCTGAATCCTTCACTAATTTTGAACTCTTTGTATTTGGAATACAATTTTTTTTTTTTTAATGAAAACTTTATATTAAAAAAAAGAGCCCGAAATGTTAATATCCCAATAACTGACACAAGGAACTAACTGTTGGTAGTCCAATGCCCTAAAATGCCTAGTGGGTAGATCTCGGGTATTTCCCACAATGGGACTGAAAGACTATTCTTATACAATGTTTTGATGTTCAGGAATAACAAGCCTCTATCAAGATTGAGAGCTGATAATGGAGCATTTTCATAAGAAGCAACAGGCAGGTTACCCGATGTACGTACACCGAGATATGAACCTCATGACTCGCACTAGTTGGAAATTTACTTGCTTTACTACAGACTTTTTCTGATCATAACACAGAAAATAAGACTGCATTAAGTTTAGTTTATTTTACATTTGCTGAAACACAAATGGATATCTTGCAACAACATATCAGGACAGGATGGATTTGAACCCCAGTTTTTTTTTTTTAATCTTTCCTGTTGAAAATTTTGTCTAGAAAATAAAATAGCTTGAGAAAAATATTTAAAATCCTAAAACATTAATACTTTTGAACAAGCAATTGACCATTCTGACGAATTGGCCAATGATTTGTATACTATACGCTGTGGTTATTCCGAGTTGATGCACGGCTTGTGGCTACAAGCCTTCACCCAAGTCACAGCGAGGCTTTATTTCCCTTGGAAAAATGCCTCATATCATACAAGGCCTGAAGTGTGACATTATAACACTTCCAATTGCTCCTAAATACACTATGTCCGGCCATTCTGATTACCAATTTACCTACTTATGCAAATCATCTTACGCGAGGTAACTGTACGTGTCCTTCTGACCATCTATTCTTTCAAGATATTCTTTTTCAATCAGGATATCGATGCATCTCTGAAGGAAAAAAACAAAACAATAAATTAGTTATTTTAATCAGACAAGTAATATTTTTCTTGCCAATACCTATAACCATTTTTTACTATTATTTGTCGCTTTCTCTGGGCAAATGTATCTTTCCCCGATGAATGTTTGCATTGTAATGATGGATGACAAAACTAACAGCAACCAATGTGAACCTGCTTAATAAAAAGAAATGTAAGGGACAAAGGAGGGAAAAAACAGAATGATGAAAGAGAAGGAAGGATAAGAAGGTGAAAGGGAAAATGGAAAGAGAAGGGGGTGGAAAGGCCTACTCTGACCAGGCCTCCTGGTTGAGTACCAAAGCAAGCAGCAGAACTAAATAGTGCCACGCATCAGCAAACTAGGATTTGGATGCGAGTAGATCCAGTTTCAAAATGACAACTGGATAAAGTCAGTAAATTCCCCAAAATTTCTATAAATAAATTCCCCCAAATGTAGTAGTCTTTTATACTACTACAGTACTGTACTTAGATTTACATTTCTTAATGTTCAACTCTTCATCCTTTGTGGTGCTTTATCAATATTAAAATCAAACATTAAGATTACACTATCAATTTTTTTACATACGGTCTACACTTGGTAGTCCAAATCATGTGGGACCCATTCCCACTTGAGTCAGCAGACTTTTTTACTAGGAATGTTAAAATGCTTTTTTTTTTTTAATTTAATGGAGTTTCTTGTTCTGTAGAACCTTCTAACCTGAATTCCTATTCAAGCAAAAAAATATAATAATAATAATAATAATAATATTATTATTATTATTATTATTAATAAATAAAAAACCTAACATGAATTCATTCGGATTACTGCAAGATTCAGGTTACCGGACTCCAAATCACCTTGAATAACCTTTAATACAGCTTCAATGTAAACCTTGAAAATCACTTTAATATCTAAGAAATGCTATAAGGTTCTCAAGATTGGTACACTCAGACTGACTCGTAACAATTGTACAAGGCAGCAAAAAAAAAAAAAAAAAAAAAGAGGCCAAAATAACTTAAAACCCACAAAGTGATGATAAAAGGAAGCAGCACGAACCTTTATAGTTGGTACGCGAGGCTTAAATCTTTGTGTCAGCTGGTTAAGAACTTCCATGAGCAGCTGTTGGTGTTTACATACTTTCCTCATCTTCATGATTCTAACAATGGCTGCCTGAATCAGCAGTTTACGATCTTCCTCAATGTGCTTGTGAGTAAGCTCTTGCTCAATCTGTAGTAAAAAAAAGTTATAAAACTATGTACAAATCAAAAACTATTATGATGCTAACAAGTGAAATTAGGTTTTTTTGTAATATAGTGAAATGAACAATTCAAAAGTTGAGAAATGAATGTTCATTTGATTGAACATTCATTTCAATGTCGCTACTAAGTCTTTATAATTTATTAAATTGTCAAAGTATTCAGTAAATTTAATACTAACAAGCTAGAAAACACACAATTTAAAACAGTAAAATTTTTTCATATCTGTCTACTTTCCTTCTGGAAACCTGACTGAGAGGCTACCTGCATGCAGGATTGTCAGGAGTGCATCACAATATTTCAAATACTCAAGAAATCATCAAAACATCTCAACAAATGCCTAAAGCATCTATATGTTAAAGAACTCAACAAGCCAGTTTGACAATTACAAAAATAGAATTTATTCACACTTGTGCCAAAAATGACATCAAAGACCGTGTTGTTGAAAAGTCAAAGTCACGTTACTGTGATAATGACTATGCCGAGAAACACTGGTTAGATTCATGAAAAAAAAAATCTAAATGGTGGCTAAGTAGTTTTTCAGTGCTTAAGGCTCTGGTACAATAAAGACTCCTGAAACCTATCATCCCAAAACCAGGGATACCACCCAGAAAGTCACAGATGAAACAAAATACACCACTGCTCACCCATCCATCAGATGATGATGGGTCACTAGTGTTTAGGTACGAGACCACGGGAAAGGAAGAGAACAAGGCAGAATGGAAGCCCAAGGAGTCATTCAAAAGTGAAATGTCATTACACTATATTTCATAGAGTGTATTGTACTCCATACTATATTTCTGGGCTGGCCCTCTTTATAGTTCCCTGAGGTTTACTCAAGACTTCAGAGAGGAGAACAAAACTACCAAAATTGAACAGAACAAAGTAAACTTTTAAAACACTAAACTTACCTTCATTTCCGTTTTCATTGGCACATTAATATTGACCCTGAGTTTCTTATTTTTGTATCCAAGGAAAAGGTTCACCCGTGAATCCAGAGAAAGGTCTTCCTCATCTTCAGATATGAGCAACTTACACTTGAGAAGGATCTGCACTACTTGAAGGAGAATATCTTGGGTTATGCCAGTCATCTCCTGGGGAAAAAAAAAAAAAAAAAAAAAAACTTATATGAGATGAAGATAAACTATACAATGTAATAGAACTGAACTGAATTGAAAGTGCCAATTGTAATTTTCAGATAATTTAGTTATTAAACTTTACTTCTGCATGAAGGTACAATCATAATTATATGCTCTTTAAAATGTAAAGTCCTGGACATTATTAGACAGCCAAGGTAAATGGATATACCCTGAACTTTTTTTGTAAGCAATATTAAGTGTACACGTGTCTACACAAGTCCTGTTTTGTAGAAAAACCCGACACTTCACAAGGTTTATCTACAATCCTCCAAGAGCTCCTTGTTCTTATCCCACTATGGGCCCCATAAAGGGAGGTGGGGGAGCTCTACCGGCTCCATGGAGGGGGAGGTTGGGGGGAGCTCTACCGGCTCCATGGAGGGGGAGGTTGGGGGGAGCTCTACCGGCCCCATGGAGGGGGGGTTGGGGAGCTCTACCGGCCCCATGGAGGGGGGGGTTGGGGAGCTCTACCGGCCCCATGGAGGGGGGGTTGGGGGAGCTCTACCGGCCCCATGGAGGGGGGGTTGGGGAGCTCTACCGGCCCCATGGAGGGGGGGTTGGGGAGCTCTACCGGCCCCATGGAGGGGGGGTTGGGGAGCTCTACCGGCCCCATGGAGGGGGGTTGGGGAGATCTACCGGCCCCATGGAGGGGGGTTGGGGAGATCTACCGGCCCCACAGAGGGAGGGAGGTTGGAGGGAAATCTACTGGCCCCATGTCCTACTTCCATCTTTAATCTCAACCATAATGCTCAATAGGTAGACAATTTTCATGTTTGGATTGTACCAATATCTAAAAATAGCATGAACAATGCACAACTGAAACAATCACTACAACCTACTTGTAAATGGCTAACACTCCAAGAAACTGCAGTGTTAAACTGGAGTAACACAGCCATTTGAAATGTTGATGCTTGTAGTGTGTATCTGAAAGATATGTCAGTCATCAAGTTCACAAACTTGGCTAAAAATGCACCGAGAATTAACAATCTCTCAGCAATGTCATATAAACAATCCAAAAAATTCTGTTACCACTCCTACTGTTGCTGGCTCACATACATGATACATGCAAAAATTACAATGATTCAGGTCAAAATTATTTTCCCTTTGCAAAGAAGATTTTCGTTAAAGACCAATTTTTTTTTAATGAGAATGATCCCAAAACAATACGTACCTGTTCTTGAAGCAATTAGTAACAATTTCCCCTTTAGAAAGATGAAACAGCCAATTCAGCTTCCGACCACTGTGTTGACTTGAATAGAATGTAGTGAATCTTGATACACTTCTTTCCAGCTGGTGGCAAATGAAAACATTTTTAATGAATGCCCATTAAAGGGTTCCCTCCAAAATTCATCTATTTCCAGTACAGTATATCCATATCTGTACTGTATTCTTACTGGTATAAGTAGTTTAAAAGCCACGTATCAGTCTCCTTTCTTATATCGAGGTACCACAATGCCATATGCAGTACCGTGAATGATGAATACAAGTGATATATTACACATTTATGAACATTTATAACAATTTAATATTGTTTAATTTTTTCTGGGAAGATGCCTCCTGGCCCAGTGAGGTAAGAAACTGGGTAATAAAGAATAAATACATAAAACTTTTTATCCATCATACCTCATGAGGAAGTGTGAATGTCTGTGACTGTTGAAAGGGCCATGAACCAGAAGATAACACCTGGATAGCAAAGTCTAAGTCTAAAGGCTCATTGCTGCTGACAAGGTGCTTCCTAAACTGATCATTTAGGTCTTTTGATACACCAATATCCTGCAAACAAGGAAAGCGCCGTTAGAAAAAACATTTATAAACTATTTTACAAAGCATTACTATTTTTTTAAAAACCTAGAGATTGTCTTACATTCATAATTACGTTAAACTCTTGAACATATAAAGAACTCGACTGGGAGCAGGTTGTGATCTTAAGAGACCCTAATTATCTTTCCGTTAGTAAAAAAAAAAAAAAAAAAAAAAAAAAAAAAAAAAAAAAAAAAAAAAAAAAAAAAAATTGTTTACCTGGAACATTCTCTGTAATTTGGACGTATATTCAAAACCACATGCTTGCTTAAGCTTAGAGATCATGGACGCTTCAGCATCGTCACTAGCAGACATATGCTGTACTAATCTCTTGGCTAACATTTTACTGTAGAATTTCTGGAATACATCCTTATCTTCTATGTACTTGAACACAATCATAACCTGAAAAATTGGATAAAAGCACAAATTAACACAAAGTCAAGGTTCAGTATGACAACAGTAAATAATACAGTGTCCCATATGTATGAAACTAGCTCATATATATATATTATTTTATATTTTTCATAGGTGCTTTACGTGCACATCATTCTGACATACACAGATGCAAATAAGGGCAAGGGACAAACTTTAAATGTTCCATATAATCAACAATGTCCATTGAACTAATGCTGTAACAGTATTATATTTGTGCAAATGTGAAGTCTACCACAATGGGAGTATACACAATGCTTCAGTCATCTATAAATTAAGCCTAAAAAAATATATACTAATACAAGAACAACAATTACGTTGTAAAATACACGTGAAAAATAAAACATACCGTAAATATTACCTTTACTTTAAATAAAATCAAACAAAAAAGTAGTCTTACCTGATTTAGCGTATCTTCTAATTCTGCTTCCTCTGGATTTTTAGACGATTTCTTAAGGAGCAAATCACAATATTTAGCCAAAAGCTCTGGAGATTTTGACGAGGAGTTTGGATGCTTTGTTACGCTGTTATTATTAATAAAGCGGCCACACGCTTTGTCTAAAGCTGCTACAAAGCCGGTGTCATTATTGAATGCAGTTAGCACCAGAGAATTGTATTTGCGATGAACTTCCAAGATGGTCTGTACATATATTTTTGGGTCCTGAAAATATAAATATAATTAAAATCATTCTATAAAGCAATAGGACTAATATTTATCTTCTTATATATAGTAAATACTTTGTTATTCATACATATTAAGGCCCCAATGTTCATGTAATAGAATGGTTCTCCAAACTAGCCTTAAAAAAAAAATCACCAGTTACAAAAACACAAAAACCAGCATTGAATGTAATGAAATGCTATTTTCTGGGTGAGACCCGGAGCTATTCCGGGCTGATGTGTATATATTAGACCGTGGCAGCAGTCAATCGAAGGTTGATACCTGGTTGATGGGGTTCTGGGAGTTCTTCTACTCCCAAAGTCCGGCCCAAGGCCAGGCTTTACTTGTGAGTTTGGTCCACTAGGCTGTTGCTTGGAGCAGCCCGCAGGGCCACATACCCACCACAGCCCAGTTGGTCCGGCACTCCTTGGAGGAATAAATCTAGTTTCCTCTTGAAAATGTCCACAGTTGTTCCGGCAATATTTCTTATGCTTGCTGGGAGGGTGTTGAACAACCAGGGACCTCTGATGTTTATACAGTGTTCTCTGATTGTGCCTATGGCACCTCTGCTCTTCACTGGTTCTATTCTGCATTTTCTTCCATATCGTTCACTCCAGTACGTTGTTATTTTACTGTGTAGATTTGGTACTTGGCCCTCCAGTATCTTCCATGTGTATATTATTTGATATCTCTCACGTCTTCTTTCTAGCGAGTACATTTGGAGGGCTTTGAGACGATCCCAATAATTTAGGTGCTTTATCGCGTCTATGCGTGCCGTATATGTTCTCTGTATTCCCTCTATTTCAGCAATCTCTCTTGCTCTGAAGGGGGAAGTGAGTACTGAGCAGTACTCAAGACGGGACAACACAAGTGACTTTAAGAGTACAACCATCGTGATGGGATCCCTGGATTTGAAAGTTCTCGTAATCCATCCTATCATTTTTCTGGCTGTCACAATATTTGCTTGGTGGAGTTCTAGGCCTACCGGGGACCAGAGCCAGAACCTGACCCCCTCAAGAGAGGCACGAGGAGCAATGACCTAAAGATATCCCGTGTAATTGGAAGCAGTCTTTGTCTCATCTACCAGGTCAAGCACCCAGAAAGGTAGGAATTCCAAAACAAACTACTGCTGATGAAATAATTTGCAAACCGAAAGCCGAACTAGCAACAGAACTCCCCAATCCAAACCAAGGAAACAAGTACCCTCTCAGGGATCCCTTTTGGTTCCCTGAGAGGGAACCAAAAGGGACTTCCTCCAGTTTACCATGAACCTGAACCCGGCATGCTGAGAAAGAAACAAATCCCTGGTGAGCAGACACACGAACTGGCTGGGAGCCGACACCAGCCAGTCGTCGAGGTAAGCCAGAACCCGAACCCCTAACAAAAGCAAACAGGTCACCACGACCCAGTAAGACATGTGAACACTCGAGGTGCCAGATTCAAGCCGAATGGAAGGCAACAAAAGCGGTAAGTTTGTCGCCCCACGACAAAACCGAGCCAGTCACTGAACCCCGGATGAATCGGGACGTGAACAATAAAATTATAAAACCAATATGCATCCCGGAGGTCCAGAGACACCATCCAGGCACCCAGCGCCAAAAGCAACTGGACCTGAGACAGGGTGTCACCCGAAAGGAGAGGCAAAAGATCCAGGGATTCAGACTAGACAAGTCCAGTATGAATCCCAGATCCGCAGTCCCATTTCGGAACTGAAAACAGGCGGGAATCCCTCGAGGGACGTTGTCGTTTCGACCACATCCAAGCGAATCCACTCCAGAATGACCTGACAGAGCACAGGAGAATAGGCCTGCCCTGCCAGCTCCGATCCCCCCGAAGGAGGAGGAGCGACCCAACACCACTGCAGGCCGGAGGAAATGACCTGAAATGACCACGAATCGTGGTACTAGGCGAGAGCAAACAGCACAAGCCTCCCCCCCTATCGCCCCGTCAACAGGACAACCCGCGAAAGGGCCCACGACCCCTACGAGAGCCCAACCAACGCTAAGAGACACTGACGGCTCCAGAGGTGGTGCAGGCCCTGAATCTGGCACTACTGGCTTATGACGTCTGAAGGAACCCCATGCCCTGGCACGACCATTCCGGGCAGGACCTCCATGCCAGCTCTTTGTTGCATTCAGATTTAGCACTTTTAGAACTTTGTCCAGCTGATATCCGAGAACCATAAAAATGTCTACTTTTGTCATTAGGCTACCAAACTTTCATCTAAAGTATCTTGTAGCAATTTTGAGCTTGCTTTATTTTTTCTGTACTTTTTTTTTCATTTTTCCCACTTAAGGTGCACGTTAGAGCGACGGTCCCACTTCATGCAGGTCTGCATTCAATTCCAGTCCATCCAAGTGGTTGGGCACTATTCCTTCCCCCCATCCCATCCCAAATCCTTATCCTGGCCCCTTCCAAGTGCTATATAGTTGTAATGGCTTAGTGCTTTCTCTTGATAATTACCTTACCTTACCAATGTTACCTCTTCAATCATGTCTTAATTGTCACATACAAATGGTAACAACAGAGGTACCGAGAGAGCCCCGGGGCACTTAAAAAAATTTCCCACTTGCACTTCACAGCATCCATGCTAACTAACCCTTTCTTCCTCTTAAATAATGACCAAGAAATGAGAACATAATTTATGTTACAAAAAAATTGGATTTGGGATAAGCAATCTGTGGTTTTGTTGCTAATATGAAATATCAATTTCTGTCTGACAAATCAATACCAGGTCTACACAGTAATTTTAAGACCAGAAGACCCAGTGAAATATTATACAAGATATTTGATATACCTTTTTCTAGACACTGACAATTTGCCATGTCATATTAAAATCAAGAGGCTAAAAAGGATAATAAGGGGATGTAAATTGTAAATAAAATGGATAACAGATCTTTCCAGGTAATACATGATCTGATAACAGGGTATTTACTGTTGCAATTATAAGCTAAAATAATCTATAGTAAAGGATATTTTCTTGAAGTCCTTAACCAAAAACAATAACAAATTATACAGTATATATTATAGAAATATATAAAATAAAAAAATATACATATATCAAATAAATGCATGAAATGGCCCTTCCTTACATTAACAGCAGAGTCGCCACAGCGGTCAATAGCTGCCAGGCCCTGGTTAGTAATATGCTGCTCCAATAATGTCCGCAACTCACGCAAACCATCTGGTATTCTGTAATGAATTTTATACATTTACAGTATACTTCACTTCCTATAAATAGGTAAGCACCTTTACAAGACAATTGCCACTAGCATGGTACAAACTCCAATGACATCCACTCATCATGTAAGTTTGTTTTTGACATATTTGAATGTATACAGCACATGATACAATGTGCAGCCTAATGAAATCTTCATTTAGGTAAAATATGGCCTTTGTATAGCAAAAGGATCCCACCTCCAGCCTAAAAATCATTCCCCAGAAAACTAAAATAGTTAAAATTCATCCTTGCATTAATCTAAGGATTACAAGAGAATCTAAACAGATAATGCCAGTTTGGAGTCGCATAATTTGAATAAGTGGCAAAAATATCCTGATTGTGTTGATAAAAATATATGAATCAGGTAATACTACTGTATATTTAAATTAAAAATCTTTGTAAATTGTAACACTGGACTTACTGGAGAAATCGTAACAAAAAGGTAACCACTATAAAGGAAATAGATCAACCTGGTATTGACCTACAAGCTGAAATATCATCCAAGGGATTCAATAGACCAATATTCTTCCATAGTGCCCAGACAGATCATCATTATATTGACAAATGTCAAGATAGCATATCAAACTAGACCTCATTCTCCATTCCCTCATCTGTAAGCAGTTTCTGAATACACCGACTTGCCCTCCACTCTCTACATTAAAACATTATCGAGATGTATTGGCTACAAGATCTATTGTACATTACTATAGTAAAGCTGTAGTGTAATAAAGGCTTTCTTAACACCTTGATCGGCTGGCAGCAAAGCACTAACTGGCCTATACACTCACCAAGCAAACGTCTGATATTTTTACCTGGGTGAATATTTATGAAAAGATGTATGCTCTGAAGCCTGCACAGCCTGCATCTGTGTGCATTTCAGTTTTGTTTTGTTTTTTTGTTACTAAATTATTTCCCCTTTATCTTGGAACAGATATCTTTCTTGAAAGTGAATGATTATGAATGAATAAAGATAATTTTTTTATAAATATTAAATAATGTGGTTTTTATATCACAAATTTATTTCAGAGCTTTCTAAACAACGTCATACAGTGCCACTCATGTTTCACCTTGTGAAAGTAAGAAGGTTAACAGCATACCTTGAGACAAGTTGATACATTCTAGCAAGATCTTCGTTTTTATCATCATTGAGAAGATGCTGGAACTCGTTATGGAATATTTCAAGATGCTTCTCAATGAGGACCTTCTCACAGGTTTTTCCCAGCTTCTCTAATGTAGTCTCGTGGAGGTATACTTGAACTCTTCGCTGCTCTTCTAGAAGTCTTGTCTCAGCCTGTTAAAATATAATGCAAACTGAAATAGAGAAGACTCTACACAAGGAATTCTCTTAAAGTGCAGGAATTTTCAGAGAAAATAATAGGATAAACAGTATGTACACTACAGAACCTTAATAATTAAACAACTTATATAAAATGATATATTTCAGATATGCAGTACACACCTTTGGTAGAAAAAAGGTGCATCATTGTCAAAAGGGATCATGCCACCAATTGTACATATATCATATGTCCCATCAGCCAACCAAGAAAACATTAAATTTCTGGTGCACTGAGGTAAGTATCCACACAAACATTTACTAATGTACTACAACTCATCCCCATATACTAAATTTTGGTTTGTTATAAAGTCTTTCAAATATCCATTTGATACTGGGTATTGGATACTAGGTGGTCAAGTGTATGTAACTTTTCCAAACACTTTACAAGTCTCAATCATGGGTTAAAGTGTGTATATGATGTAAAAGTAGTTAATAATATCTGGACAACTGTCTGTTCATAAGAAAAAATTGTGAAAAATATGAGTGAATAATCACACACAGAGATCACACTAACGTGATGCATCAAATTAACAAATCCACAAGAATCCTCGTCACGGCCCTTGTGGATTTGTTCATGAGTGAATAATGTTTGGATGCTGATGATTCACAAAGAACTAGGTGGTGACAATATAGTGTATAGAAGTTGAGTTTAAAAGTACAGTATAAGAGTTGGCAGTGATCATGAAGATAAATCTCAAAATACCTATGAGACATTTAATGGAATAAGCTACTTGGGAAAGTATTCACTGTTGTACTGTAAAAACTAGCACAGTATACACCCAATGCAAGGACCTCTGATTTAGCATCCTCCTGGATTGATCAGCCAGGTTTGGGGCCAGAATTTGGACATCAATTTACAACGATCACCCAGTAAAGGATGGATTATGGTTGCAATTGAATTTACCAAGCCTGGCACTATGTCAACAAGCAGCCATTATTGAGTTTATTGTGGCACAAATTCACCTTTGATAGGCCAATGCCACACCCACCAGTGGTACCAGTCTTTTGTAGTTGCATGTGGGAGGAGACGAGTATCTGTGTGTGCACATGAATGGAAAAATTTTCCTAGGTTGGTGGATGAGAGAGATGAGTGGGTAGGTGTATGGGGACAGGGTTACGATATTTTTATTACAAAGTATTTTGGGGCCCAAGAATTACTTGAAATATTAGACATTTAATTTAACAACTTTTGATTTAGGGAGTAAGGTATAACCACATACAGTAGAGGTCATTAAATGGAGTGGATATTGTATTTAGAGTGGAAAAGTGGCAGACAAAAATACAAAATTAAAGAATTTATGGGCCATGACAATTATATAAAACTATGAATGAGGAGCTGGGAAAAATTCCATAAAATTTTAAAGGTAATTACTTGCACCAAATGTCTGGCAGGGGAAAAAAATAAAGGAGAGTATTAAGATAAGATAATGTTAGAAGCATAAGGGAATAATTTGAATGCCTGAAAGGTGGATTGTGTGTGTGTGTGTGTGTCGCTGGTGAGAGACGAGTAAGAGATATAGCCAGAAAATATATCCCTACAAGAGGTAAGTAAATTGAGGCAGAAGCCACAAGCTCCACAAGAATGAAAGCTAAATTGTAATATGCCAAATTATAAAATCTTACCTTTTTCATATATTCTGTGACAGGATTGTTTCTAAGGAACTCTGTGCTTTCGCGGGTGTAGAAACGTTCCGTGTCCTCTAGGAAAGTGTTTTCAAATGATTCTCTATATACAGACAAGTTTTGACCTCTTGCACTAGGCTCATCTTCATTTAAACCTAAAAAAAATGGAAATACTGTAAAGCAAGTGTAGTATAAAGCAAGTAAAGCAAGTATAAAGCTAGTTAAGTATAAAGCATTCATACTATTTAAATCCTTTAAGGTAAAATTTTTCATACTCAAGTCAATTATTAGACAAGATGTTTTAACCCCAGCTAATCAAGAATGGTACCGTATCCCTATGCTAGTGTTACATGTGGGGTCTGAGTTAGGGTAACCAATTGCAGAATACAAAGAAAGTGTTTATTAAGTACCGACAGTGCAATGGTAAGAGTGCTGTAATGAGAACACTGTGGAGAAGTTAAAGAGTTTGGGGTTGTAAATAAGCTAAGGCAGCAACAGTCATTGTGGCTCATCTATGCACAAAGGAATTTTAGTGCCATATCCATATATTTATAAAGTATGCAAAAACTTGACTTAAGAGGCTGACAGGGACCTAACGAACCAAACAAAATTGCTGACAAATATATGCCTCATAGTTTGATCAAGTTCACACTTTATCAATAATAAATTTCCCAATAAAAATTTACAATGGTTGAGAAAATATATATTATATTATAATTAAAGAAAATGGAAATTAAGCTCATTGCTCGGAGTCATACCTTCTGTACTACACTTAAACATTTGAAAAAGTAAAAGTAGGAATTGTCAAGGTACAGTATAGTAATATGGGTATATGAAATTAATGATGTGTTTAAGAACGTGGTTCAACTTTTCAAACTAAGCAGTGCTTCTCATCAAGTACACACTTCTTCCAACATTAACCATGGTTAAACAAACTAATGCCTCGGTTAATGAATATCTTGAAGACTTACCTAGTTCAACATAGCAATTCATCACACCAGAAACTAGCCGCGTGTTGATAGTTTCACCATTTCTTTCACGTTCAATTAATTTTAACACGGCATTTGTAACCTGTAATACAATTAGGCATGATTAAACACTAATAAAAACAGATAATTGTAGGACTACTATTATTCAAGAGCATAAACACTTAAAAGTTTCATTGTAACAATTACTTCTAGGAAGATTAAATAATAATCCAATTTATTTTAATTAAATACAGTATTCCCAACTTACTTGTTTATTTAACGGCTGAAATAGATGGTCCCGCCAAGTGACAAGGGCTAGTTGATAAATTTCATAGATACCTTTATGGCCCTCATCGCATTCACGCTTCACCCAATGCCGATTCAAGTACGCACAAACACCATTCAAAACCTAAAACGGAAAGTTTACAAAGGTTCACCCAACTGAAAGAAAACAACTACTGTATCAGCTCGCTAATCCGGACTATATGGGAAGGACTCTCGGCCAGATTATCACATTTTCTGGATTAACGTACTTTTTCACCATGGAAGTCCAAAAGTATCAATTTAACGGTCTCTTTATACCGATCTGCCAGTAATAACGACCGGTTTGGGAGACTGGTATCTGGTGCCTCATATACCGGTCTGGCGGTTGATATTACCGATGGTCGGTATTGGGTTTGTTTTGGCATCGGCAGCCTCTCACATGGTGACCAGGCCACCGACCTCAATCGTCCAGTCGTATATTAAATCTTAACTTTCTTTTAAAATGATTCAGTTTAATGAAGACAATTCTAAATTATTATTAATAAAATATTTTGAAACAAATGTTATTAAGCAAAATTCTTTGCTTTCTTATTAAATACCTTTTATAGTATAGGCACTAGGTTTCTTTTTTTCCCACGGACCTAGAATGTACTGTGCCGGGCCATATGTCCGCATTTTTTACTGTGAACTCACACGGCTGAGAGCAATGTCTCAGTATTTGTGTGTACGTCTGATACCATACTCCTTGTGAGGGAGGAAATGTATATTTTTACCTCTCAGAATGTTTGGTAATATGTTTATTTGTGATGTGTGTATATGTATATATTAACACGTTGTACTGAACGGGGTGAGAATAGCTTGAGCTACCTCATCCCTTTGTGTGTATTTTACCTCAATAAACTTATTTCAATTTCAATTTCAATGTCTCAGAATATTAACCAGAGAAAATCAGATTCAGACAAAAATAGATAAATTCGTGAATTCAACGGTTCGGGAAAAATCTTCGTCTACAAGCCATGCTGCACCCGCTGGGAATTCAACAAGTCATGCAGCATCAGCTGGCAACAAGTGCTCTACAAGCCATGCTGCACCCGCCGGCAACGAATGCTCTAGAAGCCATGCTGCACCCGCCGATGCCGAATTCCCATTGACAAGTCGTGGAGCATCCGATAACGATATAAAATATGATTGAAAGGCATATGAATTAGTGTAAAAAGTGTTGATAGAGTACAGTATTCCAAGTGTTTAGCCTTGACAAAAAGATACTGTACAGTGTAAATATACAGTAGAAATAATTTTCAATTGTGAATTAGAATTAGAACTAATGTGAATTAGTAGTAAGCCAGCTGTTGTGTGAAGTGAATACCTGAAAATAAGTGTACATACTGTATGTACCCTGTATACAGTACTGAACAATATAAAACAAGCGCTGCAGAGGATGACAATCTTCAGCTTAATTAAAAGCAAGTCAATTTACCAATTTTATTATAGTATTACAACCACTTTCACTAAGTTGTATAACATGTATCTTGTCTTTAATTGTTAGGGTAACCTTCTTCCTCTTAACACCTCCTCCTTCCTCTTAACACCTCCAGAATGACTGATGCTGCTACCAGACAGTCTTGGCCAAAAATTTTCAAAGTTACTATGAAAACAAAAAAGCTATTTAAAAAAATATTTCACTAATGGCATGGCACTGTGGTATAACATGAGGAACAGGAGCACATGGGCTGTTTGGCTTGACCAGGCCTGGACGGGACAGGTCCACTTGGGGCAGGCACGTTACGTAGGCCACTAGGCGGAAAAAAAAACTACTATTTTTTTAAGCAAATTTCAGCCTGTGCAAATTGTTTTTAGGAAACCTGTATATTTGTTGTTATATCAGCATTTCTTTTGCTTTTGACTGTGATGACTTGTTCTAAAATTAATGGTAATTCCTGTACTGTACTATATTGTATATGTTCCTCCACATCCCCCAAGTGGTCCCTCCCAATGCTCCCCCCCTCTCCCCCGACACTACCCACCCACCCCCACCCCCTCATACACCACGCGCCTAGAGCCACAGCCATATGTCATTAACGGCACGACGTCTGGCTTTCTGATCCAGACAATTCGCTGCTTGTCTGGCTGACTGTCCGGATTGGGTAACATCAGCAGCAAGTTAACCGGTTCAGATTTTTTATCCGGCCAAACATCGGCTAGCCTGACTTCCATGGACATTTTGGCCGGATGGGGAGATAAAGTTATCTGGCCGGATTAGGCTGTTTTCTGGACAGTTGGATTCCGGATTAGCGAGCTTCTACAGTATAATAATCATGAATATGTGTATGTATATCTACTAACATTTAATCTCATTTACAGATTGTGTTTTCAGGAACACTTCTCATAAAAAGTCATCAGATGGAGACTTTACGTGGGTAGCAGCAATTTATGGCAAGATTCCCGTGCTTAACTACCAATGACTAAGGAGATTAAACAATTAAATTGAAACATTTTTAGCCGAGAATTGAGAAGACCAGGTTGAAAAGACTGAATAAAACTTTAGTTTATTTCAGAGCTTTTTTCATCCAGTCAATTCTAAATAATAAACTTTTGCTACCAGCTGATGTTCCCAAATTTTATTTTTAACAATAAACAAAAATAGTAAAATATCACTTACTTTACTAGAAAACTGATATTCTTCCCATTGTCTAGTATAGAACCTCAGAACTTCTTCATCCATCAGATCTACTCCATCCTGTTTAAAGAAACTCCAGCTTAATGAAAAATCTACAGCAGATTAAGGATTTGTAAATTAAACTTCTTTTATTTTATTGGAATTTTTGTATTATCTGGTTGTGAGGAGCATATGATAAACAATTCAGTTTTGAATTACTCTGTATGGAAAAAAATAATCTCAATCAAGTATTATTACAAACTATCTCCAATAAAGTTTAAATCCTATAACAAGGCTAATACTGATTCTCAAGTTTATATATCATTATTTTAGATTGAAGTTATTCCTACAGGGTGTGCTATAACAGCTGTGAAAGTGCCCTTGATTTTTTTATTTTTATTTTATCAAAGACAAAAGTAATGAATGAATCTATGAAACACACTCTTTAGGCTCCCATAGCATACCATTTAGGAAATCATTGCTTTATTTTTTCTGAATAAAATTACTGTACAATATACTGTATACAGTTTTATAAAATTTGGGCCCCTGGGCTTAACACTAAGACATGCAATTATTCAAAACATATCAATTTATACTATTCACAAATCTATTGAAGCTTACCTTCATAAGTGTAAGAAGATATGTCTTAAGGAAGTCTTTAAGGCGTTTATAAAGTTCTAGACCAACAAATTGAGCACCGCCACCTGTAGCTGTGCTTTTTTTGGCCCGTGGCCCACTGCCACTACTCCCAGCCTTAGTAGACTGTTGGTGCACCTGTAGAATCAACAATGAATAAGTGAACTTTGTATAAAACATTTTGCAACTGGTATCTTGCCAACCTTAAAAGAAGATATCAGCACACATTATCCTAGATGAGAAGGAACAAGTACTTTGAATGTCATTGGTATAGAATACCTGGTTTTGAAAGCTCTCATAATTAACTTCCCTCTTCCTGGTTAAGACTATGCTTTACTGCACTCTAAATAATATACAAAGCAGCTGGAATATGGCATTGCATATTTTTTTGTTAGCTACAGTTCCAACTTTAATTGATACAAAATTTTAGTTTCTCTGTCTTATTATAATTTTTGTATTGAATCTGGCTGAAAAAAAAAAGAAACCAACATGAAAAGGGTTTGCATCTTTAAACTCTGGGCTGTGCAGGAAGCATGTTTAGTCATTTCTGTTAATAAAACTAAGTATATACACAGTACAGGACTTTTATAAATGCCAAAACTATATGATATGAATAATAGTTTTCAATTATATGATCTTAACACACTTTCCCATACACAGAGCATATTGTGTGCTTGTACAGTATTGACTTCTTCATTCAGTAAAGAATTTGCAGCCTCTGAGAATACTTACCGAGGTGCAGTAATTATACACATGTGTATAGAGTTGCATGTAGCGAGGTCTTGACATTTCTTGACTATTGTACACCTGAAGAAAAGTAATAATAATGTAAATCCAAGTAGTACTTAATATATCATATATTGAACTACATATTTTAATTTTTAAGACAAAAAATTATAACCTACAAGAGTAATTTGCAACTTAATGGCATTATTATAGCAGGAATAAACATTTCTTTTGGGAGAGAGATAATGGCAAATTGTTTAAGACAGTTTTCCTTAAATGTTCTTACCTGTTCAATGCCTTGTCTAAGATCACCCCATATTTGATCAAGGTCAATTTGTTTTAACCCATGGGGATTACTGCTAGTACCAGTGCTGTTGCTACTGCTACCACTGGTACTCCCCCCACTACTGCTTCCTCCTCCCAAGCCCCCACGTTGACCCGACATATTGTCTGCAATAAATGTTACACATGTTAACCCTTCAAATGCCTTCTTTTCCCTTTAAAAATGAAGATACAACTAAATAAGAAAACACACACATGAACTTAAGCACTCGTATTGATTCATAGTAGTTTAACCAAAGACGTTTTAAACAAAATGCAATTTAGTGCAATTTCCTTACTGAAAATAGTCACACATAACTTGCAATACCCCAATTTTGAAGCTAAATTAAATGTACAAGTGCAGCCATTATAATGATAACATTTTGTTTGACATAAAAGACCCTGGACTCCAATGCTACAACAAACAAGATACATGGATGCACTTGTCCACTCATTTTGAATACAATTATCTGTGTAGGATGCGTTAAGCTTTTAATAGGAAGAGTCATTCATGTATGAATGTACCTGGAAAGTATTATGGAAAGTGTTCTATCTAGATAGAACACTTTCTTTCAATGATAAAGATAGGCCTCAGACATTTTTGTGTAGACAAATTATTTCAAGTGCTGACCAAGCACCTCGGCTACAGACCCAGCACCAGGTGGAGGGAAAGCCATACAATAGCTTCAGAGGCCAATTAAAAAAAAATCAGATGCCTATTAAGCCTAATCAATAATTTGTGACGAGGACCCGAGAGAATCCTACACAGTGCTTTGTTTGCACCGAGGGAAGTCTCGCGACCAAAGTGAACCTCAAGCACAGTGAACACCTGTCTGAGGACCATCGTCCACAGAGGGGTTCTATTTAGTTTGTGTACCCGGGTCTTGTACCCATGCTCTGGTAATCGCCATATCTAGATACTGTATCGTTTAGTAAGCTGCCTGCGACAAGCAACGTGGTGACATTGCTTGCAACTGCAGTCATGAGAAAGTAATATACCCACATGGTCAAACTCTTTCCAACAAATTCTACTTGTGATGGCAAATTGGGTTATATCATAGAACAACATGGAAGAGTTTCATACAGATGTGCAGTACCCGTCTCCCTTAATTCCAACAATAATAGAACTTGAATACTAAACAAGGCATTATTTTGCAGCCTATGGAAATAGCCATAAGATTGATTTAATTACATGTGTGGGGGCAGGAGTGGCCCTGGGCCCCCAGTGGGCCCCAGGGCCACTATCAACCCTATGTGTCCGCCTTCTCTTACATACTCAAGTAAACCCAACTTGTACAATGTTATTACAGGAATACTTCCTGGATAATGAAAATACCTATTCTTTGTAATGTGATGGCGTAAATCAATTGAGTGCGGGAGTGTTGGAACTGTTGGAGGAGGTTGGTGTAGGGCTGGTGGAGCCACGGGAGGGGGTTGAGGAGCCCCCAGAGACTCACCGTTGGTGGCCCAGGCTCTTGGTGTGGGTGTTGGAGACAGGACACAGCTTGGTGGTGAGGCGACACAGGGAGGACACTAGAGGTGGTGTTGGGGCAGTGTTGGAGGACCAGCTGGTGGGCCTCCCGCGCCTCGCTCCTCTCTCACTCGCCCTTCACACTCATTCCCCCGTCACGGCACCGCCACTTACACACATTCTGCCACAACCTTCATATCCAGGCGATAAAACAATGACAGTGTACCTTTCTTCCTGGCCAAGGTAAAACAAGCCAGCAGCTGTGTGCGCACCTCCTCGGGCACAGGTAGTGGGTCACCGAACCTCACACTCCACCCCACACTCGCCTCAACCACTCTACCTGCTACAATGACTCGGAAAATTAGGAGGAGGCAGGTAGAGGTGTGGTTGTGGGTGTTGTGGCCGTGGTAGAGGTAGAGGAGTGAGTGTTCCCGCTGCCTGTGATGGAGGCCATGATGGCCGCCACACTCCTCACACTCCTCGCTCACTCACCACCCTCATCTACCTCACTCACTCACTCACTCACTCACCTCTCACAATTCCCACGGTACTCGCACGTTTTTATTGGAATTTTGCATCATATTGTGTTGTGGAACGATAGAGGAGCACAGCACTTTAAGGACTATGCTGTTATGTGTAGTATGTCTGTGACTCCAGTTTACATATGGATGCCTCGTACTAATATTTATATTTTAATATTAAAGCTGCAGAGCTGAAGTGTAATATAACCTGGATGAGAGTAAATTTCCGGGCCAGCGGTGATGGTTGAGCCCAGCCTGACCCCCGGGGCAGGTCTTGACGTGTGAGGTAAGGTGCCTCTTCTACCACACTAATGGTGAACAATATCTGAATTTCCCCGAGGGGGACCACTGTCGCTACTGGCCTCGACGGGGACAGGAATCTGACGGCTTGTCAAACGTCCATCCATTTGTCTTGTTGATTTTGTCGAGCTGGATCTTAAAATTCATCCGTATTTTGGCATTTATGACTTGGGCAGGTAGGCGGTTCCATTGATTTATAACCCTGTAGGTGGAAAAGCATCTGATTTGTCCTTCGTTGTTATTTATTTATTCATTTATATATGTACAAGAGTTCTTATGTTCTTGTACAGCCACTAGCATGCATAGCGTTTTGGGCAAGTCCTTAAACCTAATTTTCACACATACATCTCCCATGAAGCAGCCCATAACAGCTGTCTTAACTCCCAGGTACCTATTTACTGCTAGATGAACAGGAGCATCAGGGTGAAAGAAACTGCCCATTTGTTTCCGCCTCTGCCGGGCATTGAACCCAGACCCTTTGGACTATGAACGCCGAACGCTGTATGCTCAACCGTCAGACCCCACAGCTTGAGCTTGAAACCGTTATTTTGGTGGCATACCTCTGAATTTTCTCTAACTTTTTTTGTCATGGTTTAACTAGGTATGGATCCCAGGCTAGAGCTGCATGCTCCAAGATGGTCTGACATAAGTGGTATACAATGCCCTGAACGATTCCTTGCACAAGTTTCTAAAAGCAGTTCTTATGTTGCCAATCTAGCATATGCCATTGATGGTATCCTTTTGATATGGGCTTCTGAGGACAGGTTCCATGTGATATCAACTCCCAGATCTTTACTATTTGACTCTTGCAGGATTTCACCTGCCAGATGGTACGTTTGTGTGTGACTTGGGTTGGATGTAAGACACCTGCAAAAGGTAATCATTCCCATATATGGTTCCATTAACTTAAGTGCCCAAGCCAGGGTACCTAGGCCTATTTTGTACAGTATACCATATCTAATTACCTTATATTAGTTTTCTGCAGCACTTGTTCCATGTAAAAAGTAAGTACTGTATAGAATATTTCATCCCCCATTTATCATTATCCTCTTATCACCTCACTGCCTGCTCCCATGTTTCACTCTTACACTGTACCTCAGTGTTCATTTATGTCTTCTTAAGTCTTCAACAGATTTTATAATACAGGTGTGTACAGAATTCATAATGAAGTCCTATTCTTGTTTCTCTTTAGAACTACAGTATTTCCAGATTTGTTATAGCTTTTTGAGATCTTGAGCAATTTATCCATCCTTACTCGGTCCTAATTAAAATTAGTCATGCATTTTCAACTTTATATATACAGTATTTTACTTGCATTAGAGCTGGAATTCTAATCCCCCCCCCCAAGATTTTGGCCCCGTTTATTTTTTAATTCCTAATAATTTGTTATATGTTCACTTGTTAAAATATTTTTCTGTAGACAGTAGTGTATGCATGAATCTGTAAACTATCCTTGTCAGACACATGATTTAGGCAAAGCTAAAGATGTATGATCTGATGCTTCTGGAACAAGTTGCTTCCATTCCACCGATTCAGATACAAGTGGTTGATTTTCACCCAGAACAACAGGTATGTGATCTTTTGTAGAAAATTATTTCTTAAGGTTTGTACAGTAAATATTATGACTTAAATTGTTAGGTTTAGACTTTACAATGAGTTATGTCAACCAGGGATAATGTGCTCCACTTTTTACAAATTATAATTGTTAAATGTTTGATAAATTGTGGATTATTTTAGTCACAGAATGAGTACAGTGTATCATCCTTTGTCTGGCAGGTTAATTGGGATTGGACTCAACTCTAGCAAGCCAAGAATTTCCATTTAGAGAATTGCTACTTTTTTATTATTGTAGTACAGGTACTTTATTTTTTTACCCTAAATAATTGAACATCTTTGTTAATTGTATAAACTAGATTTTTAAATGTACAGTACTGTAATGTTCTGGAAGGTAAAATGGATAAAGAACAATAAATTATGGGGAAAAAACACTAGAGAAAATGTTTTATTCTACCTTTGGAGATGAAAGAGGTAAAGGTATTCCTTGTGCAGAATTCAAAATAACATGGCTGAAGATTAGGCACCCAATCCACAAATCTGAAGAATTGACAACGTTTCGGTCCATCCTGGACCATTATCAAGTCATGGTATGGAAAGTGGTAGAAACAGACAATTTAAAAGGGAAGTGAGATATGAAGGTAAGAGAGAGCTGATAGGTAAGAATTAAGAGAATACTGTAAAAATAAGACTTGCCACTGGTCTAGGATGAACTGAACCGTCGTCAATTCATTTTCAGATTTGTAGGTTAGGCATCTAAGGTAGTCCTAGTTATTAGCCTCGGCAAGCAAATGTAAGTACAGGTACATGCAGTACAGTGATACTACTGTATGAACAATACAAAAATGCTTCAAGACTAACATTGTTGCACAATAAGATAAATACGGTAATCTCAGAAGTTGCAAAGAGCTAATACTAGAACTGAGATAACTAAGCTCAAAGACAGGTTAACCCTAACCCTCGCACTGCTCCAGCGCCTTCTTTTGATAATTACTGCTTCAGTTGTCTTATGTGATTTTTTCCAATTTGATTTGTTAACTTTTGTCATGTGTGCTTATATGCACTTTTATGTAGCTGTGCTGTTTAGAGGTTAAGGAAATTATTGAATGACTTAAGAGAGGGACCAAAGAGGATATGAACACTGTATACTAAATATTGAATACTATAGTATACTAAAATAAAATACTAATGTATACTAATAAAAGCGTTCCGCGAGCGCTTTGTCATGGGTTCGTATCCTGGCCGGGGAGGATTTACTGGGCGCAAATCCTAACTGTAGCCTCTGTTTAACTCAACAGTAAAATGAGTACTTTGTTGTAACAACGATTCTTCGCGGCGGGGATCGTATTCCAGGGACCTGCCCGAAACACTTCGAGTATTAGTGGCTGTACAAGAATGTAACAACTCTTGTATATATCTCAAAAAAAAAATATATATATATATATATTCAGCTGATTAGATATGGTGGAACAAGGATAGCCATTTCAGATTGATGGGAAATAGGACCAGAAGAAATGGGTGGAGACTAATTGCACATCATAGAAGGAACAAAACAACTTGTGTACAGTGAGGGATGGTAAGTAAGTGGAATGTAATTGAGCCAGAGGTGGTGACAGCAACCATCAGTCATAGCTCGGGAGCAAGTATGTAAATATGGTTATACTGTAATACAGTATCTTCATGTGGTTATCATAGTGTCTTAATTTGGCTTTAAATGCCAGTGTTTCACTTTATTCCTTGATAACATTTCCCCTCAGAATAGCAGTAAGACATTTCCTTTGAGCTGTGCAACGAACTGTCACAGCTAGCACATGCTATGAAGGTGTACATATTAAATCATAAGCCTGTATGCACTACTGTTCTCAATCACTGTTTTTGTCAATTAAGTTTACATACGTTAACACAAATACATAATGTAAACTAATAAGTGAAGCAAGAACATAAAAACCATACAAGTTGAACCAGTCCTCGCTACTGAATTACAAACTGCAGGGATTCTAGTCTCAATGTACACGTTGACCTCTTCTGGCTACTGTGTACGCCTGACAAAATTGGAAAAGCAACAATATTTTCTTGAAGCAAATTTCATTCTATGAGAAATTATCGTTTTTCCTTGGGTGATATTTAGCGCCCTCTGATTATCCCGCACATTTAATGGTGCTACATAGCCTTCCCGGTTTGGTGCCTTCTTTTGATAATTACTTGCTTATGTGAACGTCTAAATGATGCATATTGTGGGCATCAAAACTCTCGTTATTTGTGTAATTTCCAAAATGACTTATTATGGACAGGCCAAAATTGGTTGTTTCATTCAATTTTGTAATACGGTAATTCTTATTGTGATAAGCAGGTAGCTTGCTATATAATACAGACAGTTATACTTCATTTTTAATTCCGAATGATCCATTTTATTAGATCTGCAGCAGCAGAGCTTATTTTCCACACTATTGTCAACAATATATTAAAATTCACAAGTGGGAATAAATTTTTGGGATTGCTAATCTGTTTTTCAGACATTGCTTAACTGCCAGCACTCCACTGTTTCTTATACAGTACAGTACTGTACAATGAATTAATCTTAAACAAATTTTTTTTTTTTTTTTTTTTTTTTTTTGAGATATATACAAGAGTTGTTACATTCTTGTACAGCCACTAGTACGCGTAGCGTTTCGGGCAGGTCCCTGGAATACGATCCCCTGCCGCGAAGAATCGTTTTTTCATCCAAGTACACATTTTACTGTTGCGTTAAACAGAGGCTACTTATTGAAACAATCATGAGACCGAGATTGAAACAATCATGAGACCGAGAGAACGAGTATGCTCATAATTATTGAACGAGTAAGCTCATAATTATACAATAAGCTGCACTAGCCTTATGAAGAGATGGGGTGCTGCTGTGGATAAGTGCTTAAATGTTTATTTTGTGCCCAATGATATTTGGGTTAAAAAAAAAATTGGGTAAAAAGTTATATTTTTGATAACTTTCACTATACAGTACTCGCATTTCTCTTTTCTTCATGTTGTTATCTCAACAGCTTGGAAGTAGAAAACGGTGATATTGAATGAAATTAGTTTATTACCTGTGTTCTTGATAATAGTTCCTCGGTAGCAGTGTTCTTGAACAACTTGACAGTAGACCATCATCCTAGTCATGGATTACTAGGGTGAACAAGAAGTCCTTGAGTGCTGGGCTGCATACTGCACAACAGATTTATCGTGTTACTGTGCTAGGCATTGGCCAGCATTGATAACTTATTGCAGAGGTTGCTAGGTGACATTTCGAGTAACCATGCACTAGTTACTAATGTGTTTGAGAACTAGAGTCAGTCGTGAAAGGAGAATCAAAACAGCGGGTAAAAAGACATGTACAGCTGTATTGCAAAGAATTATGTACAAAAAATTATTTAAATATTAATCCTAATCACTTTTCAACTATAATACAGTAGACCAATGTACATCACTTCAGTCTGGAGGTGCTCAACCATGACCAAGTCAACATGGTATGGAAGGTCAAACCCTGAACGTGTCACAAGGCTAAAGGATAATTGCAACAAACCCAACCGTCAGTACAGATGTTATTAGCTTATCTTGGTTTGTTTATGAAACTGCTGCGATGATGGCAGGTCTTGTTTTTCCTTGGTCAAAGGGTCTGTGCTGGTTGCCTTGTTGCTTGGGACAAGTTATGTACAGTATTGGCATGAAAACACTGTAAATATATGCCGTTTCTTTTAAAATTTTACTGCGGCTGCAGTTATGACATCTAATCATAAAAATTGTCATTCCTATTCTGGTTACAGCAGTGAAAACTACAACAAAATATACAGTACAGTATATTAAACATTTTACATAAAACCCTGAATTAAATGATGGACTATGACATATTTACATAATGACTTGCAATATGAGAATAGCGAGACTGCTGAATAGGATGAACTTTGTAGGGGGAGGACAGGTGTGGGTATTGTTCCCAACGCTGTGGAACCTGTAAGGTTGGATGTGGACCAGAGAAGGGTTGAAGGGCACAAGAACCTCCTGGGTGAGGATGAGGGAGGGCAAAGACCATGCAGGGGAAGGTGTGGGCCAGAGGAAGGTTCCAGGACATGGTGGAGGAAGCTGCCCAACACATACCGGGAAAAAAAGTTATTCTCACGTTATATTTCATAAAGTAAATAATCTATAATTGATAATTTATCACGCTAATGAACAAATAATTGACTTATGGCACAAGAATAAATTCCGTATTATTATTATTATTATTGAAGATCGTCACGGGGTTGAGTTATGATCGTTATTTCTAGGGACGAATCACAAACACTTGAAAACGTAAGGTTTGAGAGCCAAGGCCATCGCAAATCGATAGACTAAATAATATGAACTTTAAATATGCTTGAAGTTTCCCACCAAAACCTCTATCCATGATGCTTACTTACAAGACTCGAGAAACTATAGGAACTGATGAGTGTATTGGAGGGAGCTCACGCGTCACTAGTAGATTTTGTGACATTTAATGCAGTATGGGACGGGGTCGCCTCCTCAAACACATCCTCCTCATCCACACTTGGCAGCGACACTACTCCAAAAGTAGCTAGCGATGACTTTCGTCTTCCCCCAGCACTGATTTCAGCATCCAATTCGAATCCCTCAAAGTCTGATGACATTGAAGTCGTGGAGCTGCGCCGTGTGTCCACTTGGCTGATAGAGTGTGCCACGCGAGGGTGTACTGTTGTTCGACCGCTTGCGGTATCTGCTCGAGAATCGTGAGAATGTGAGCTGCTTATAGAGGAGAACTGTGTTATAGTGGTGGCAATTGACATATTGCGACGTCCAGGGCCCCGTACCTCAGATCTGCTTTCACCGCCAACAGACGACCGGTGATTACCAATGGAGCTGTTTCTGTTGCCCGGGCGTAAGCTTCGAGCTAGGGAGCCAGTCACTGCAAGCGACCCACCAAAGTTGCCGATGGCACGCACGAGCTTCACGCGGTTCTCGGGTGTCAACACCAGGATGTAGAAGATGCCCACTCCTCGTAGGGCATTGACACTGGACGGTACATACCACAAGTAGTCGTACCATGACTCTGACGGCTTGACCATGTATTCTGCCACAACAAAGGCTATCACCTCCAGGAGCCAAGTAGCCCCTGACCACACAACCAGCTTCACCGACTCTGTCCAACTGCAGGAAAGTAAGTTGTCAGTTCAAATGGGAATTCATTGTTATAGATACTCTTCGTAGCTGCACTTTATTATAACTAATGGTCTGTGACACTAAATCAAGATCATTTCATATTTTCTCAAACTGTTAGAAAAAAGGTTATATATTCAAATGGGATTAATGATTTTATATATTTTATGTCTAGTCATCGTCTATATATATATGTCGTACCTAGTAGCCAGAACGCACTTCTCAGCCTACTATGCAAGGCCCGATTTGTCTAATAAGCCAAGTTTTCATGAATTATTTATTTTTCGACTACCTAACCTACCTAACCTAACCTAACCTAACTTTTTCGGCTACCTAACCTAACCTAACCTATAAAGATAGGTTAGGTTAGGTTAGGTAGGGTTGGTTAGGTTCGGTCACATATCTACGTTAATTTTATCTCCAATTAAAATTTTGTTACCTCATATATAATGAAATGGGTAGCTTTATCATTTCATAAGAAAAAAATTAGAGAAAATATATTAATTCAGGAAAACTTGGCTTATTAGGCAAATCGGGCCTTTCATAGTAGGCCGAGAAGTGTGTTCTGGCTACTAGGTACGACATATATATATATATAAGTCATCGTCTAAGGGTTAAAACAATTAGACACGCCCTAAAACAGTGTACAGAGAAACCCCATCAACAGGAACTCACAGATTACGTGTTTGGTGGGTGCGTAGGCCCGAGTGTTGAGGATTGACTGCGTGGTGAGAGGCGGTGGTGCCTGGACCACTCTCCTTGGCCGAGCTGTTCTGAGACTCCTCGGGTGCTTCTGTACCTGAAAGACCAATGCACATTTTACTGAAAACCTTTCCTGACAGCACCGGTCAACTGACTGATTTAATTTTTCGCCTTGTTAGTTACAAATACTTTTCAGTAGCAGGGAAAAGTACAACAAATAAAAATATTTAATCTTTTAAATATTAACTGTTTAAAAATGTAAAATGTATTACAAAACTTGTGTATGGAACCTGACTCTCCTATAATTTTTATTTTATTTTATTGTACAGTATTTACCCTTAGTAAGTGGAGGAGTATGTTGGTAAGTAGGTTATGATCTGGGTGTGGGTGGTGTGGAGGCATCCTGCAAGTTGATCTGAGAGTGGAGGATCACACTTAATCTTGAGTGTGAGTGGTGTGGAAGCGTCGTACCCTTTGGTTAGTGTGTACTTAACTAGTTGTGCTTGCAACTTAACTAGTTGAGCTTCGGCTCTTTGGTCCCGCTTCTCAACTGTCAGTCAACCGGAGTACATATTCCTGAGCCTTTTGGGCTCTACCATACATACATTTAAAACTGTGTATGGAGTCTGCCTCCACCACATCACTTCCTAATGGATTCCATTTATTAACTTCTGGCACTATAAAAAGTTCTTTCTAATGTCTCCATGGCTCATTTGGGTACTTAGTTTCCACCTGTGTGCCCCCAGTGTTAAATGAACTCTTTATCTACCCCTATCCTCCTACCTTTATCTACCATTATCTACCCCTACCCCTTTATCTACCTCTCTCCCTCTGAGAAGGACTTGATAGTGTGGGTTGTTGTTGTTATTATAGATTCAGCTACTCGGAACAAGTTCCAAGTAGCACGGGCTATAGTGAGCCCGTAACTTACCTGGCACAGGAGCGGTGCTGTGTGTGTGTAGTGTGGGTGGCGTGGAGGTATTTTACCTGTTGGTGTGAGTGTAGTGGAGGTACAGTACCTGCAGATTTAGACTTGGGGTTGCCATGCTCGAGTCGTCGCAGCTTGGCGGAGCGGACATAGCGAGCAGCAGCCAGGAGAAGGACGTTAGCACACAGACTCATCAACATGGGCACGTACAGGTACACCAACTTGGCGTTCTGGTCTGTGGACACACACCGCCAAGTTCTCTCATAAAACTTATAATTAGTTATAATTATTATATCACTTATAATAATTTTGTCGGGGACAGGCAGCCTGCATATGTGTGTATATATATATAATATATAATGTATATATACTTTAGGCTTGTATCGAGGTTCCTCAAGGTCGAACTACTGACCTTTTCCAGGATGCAATAGTTGCTTAACTTCCGGGTACCTATTTACAGCTAGGTGAACAAAGGCATTAGGTGAAAAGGAAATGTGGCCAACCATTTGTCCCCCGGGATTCGAACCCGGGATACCCGAATATTGAGTCGAGAACAAAGCATAACACCAATTCAATTATCACACCTTAAAAGATGTATCGTCCTAGAGTCAATGAATTAGCATCGACAGATCCAAATGTTAAAATCTATAATTCTGGCATAGAGGTGCTTGCAAAGGTGGCGGAGACTGACCTGAGAAAAAGCACCTGTAGAGGCCGACCCTGGGGGTGATGACCCCGCAGGGGAGGGAGTGCCTGTAGTGGTCTAGGGTGAGGGCCAGGCAGGTGACCACCCCTGGCACACCCCACGCCCACACAGAGTGCAACACATACCTCCATCGCTCCGAGGTACTCACCCGCCTGTATAAACAAACTTATCAAACGCCAAATATTTACTCACACGCCGCACTGCGATTCATTCAAATATAAATAATAATCACAAAACTTTAAACTGAAATATATATATACAAAATATACGTGATTGTTTTATAAACGCGATAAATTAATATTTAGAAACTAATAATCAAATGCTTGTCAACAATAAACATTTAACATTTTAATATTGGCATTAACAAAAGTGGAGGAAACGAAATTCCAGAGGTTAAACATGTTGGCAATATACTGTATGCAGATATTACATGAACAAACCCACAAGGGCCGTGGTGAGGGTTCGAATCTACGGCCGGGATGATCCCAGACGCACCTTAGTCAACTGTGCCGCGACAAGGTTAAAATCCTTGTGGATTTGTTCATTTGATATATCACGCTATTGTAATTTCTGTGTGTACAGATAATACGTATATGTGAGCTATATCTGCATAGATTATACATATGTGAAACATCTCTACAAAGACTGTGTGGGTACTAGGCTCGTAAACCCATGTACCAACATACATAGCATGAGCTCTGCTATGTGAACTGTGCACATGCACACAAATACACACTCAGGTGAAAACTATCACCCGAGGACCAGAAAACTGTCACCTGAGGACCAGAAAACTATCACCCGAGGACCAGAAAACTATCACCCGAGGACCAAAAAACTATCACCCGAGGACCAGAAAACTATCACCCGAGGACCAGAAAACTGTCACCTGAGGACCAGAAAACTATCACCCGAGGACCAGAAAACTATCACCCGAGGACCAAAAAACTATCACCCGAGGACCAGAAAACTATCACCCGAGGACCAAAAAACTGTCACCTGAGGACCAGAAAACTATCACCTGAGGACCACATTAAGAACATTGTGCGAGGAGCCTATGCTACACTTTCTAACTTCAGAATTGCTTTTAAATACATGGATGGAGAAATACTAAAGAAATTGTTCACGACTTTTGTTAGGCCAAAGCTAGAATATGCAGCGGTTGTGTGGTGCCCATATCTTAAGAAGCACATCAACAAACTGGAAAAGGTGCAACGACATGCCATTAAGTGGCTCCCAGAACTGAAAGACAAGAGCTATGAGGAGAGGTTAGAGGCATTAAATTTGCCAAAACTAGAAGATAGAAGAAAAAGAGGTGATATGATCACTACGTACAAAATAGTAACAGGAATCGATAAAATTAATAGGGAAAAATTCCTGAGACCCGGAACTTCAAGAACAAGAGGTCATAGATTTAAACTAACGAAACAAAGCCGCCGGATTAATATAAGACAATTCACTTTTGTAAACAGAGTGGTAGACGGTTGGAACAAGTTAGGTAAGAAGGTGGTGGAGGTCAAAACCGTCAGTATTTTCAATGCGTTATATGACAAAGAGTACTGGGAAGATGGGACACCACGAGCGTAACTACACTTAGGTAATTACATAGACACACACACACACACACACACACACACACACACACACACACACACACACACACACACACACACACACACACACACACACACACACACACACACACACACACACACACACGCACGTGCTTAACAAAGATGTACTCGCATGTATAGGTACTTGTATAAGAAAGTACACACCTGAAGGCACCTAAACCATGAGGTACACACCTGAAGGCACTTAAACCAGGAAGTACACACCAGAAGGCACTTAAACCAGGAAGTACACACCTGAAGGCACCTAAACCAGAAAGTACACACCTGAAGGGGCCCCTAAACCAGAAAGTACACACCTGAAGGCACTTAAACCAGGAAGTACACACCAGAAGACACTTAAACCAGGAGGTACACACCTGAAGGCACCTAAACCAGAAAGTACAGACCTGAAGGCACTTAAACCAGGAAGTACACACCTAAAGGCACCTAAACCAGAAAGTACACACCTGAAGGCACCTAAACCAGGAAGTACACACCTGAAGGCACTTAACCAAGCATGTACACACCTGAAGACACTAATACAAAGAAGCAGCACGTGAATAAGCACAGATTTGAGATTTATTTATTTATTTATTTATATACAAGAAGGTACATTGGGTTTATGAGAGTACATAACACTGGTGTTTCTACATCCTTGTAAAGCCACTAAGACGCACAGCGTGTCGGGCAGGACCGTACCTGTACACACTTACAAGAGACGAGACACACTTACAGGGTAAGGAGGAGGGACTCGAGACATATGGAGGTGTTCCACTGGAAGGCTGCCAACAGGAAGAATGTGAGGAGGCCGGCTGTCAGACAAACATAGATGATGTGAGCATTTTTTCGCATCGCATACATGCATCATCACCATTTCTCTATAGCATCTTTTGGTATATTTTGTCTAATCATCTTTTTGTTTTCTTGGTATTTAACAAACAAGGATGGAGCAGATGTGATTGTCAAACCACACATTTGAAAATGGAGAAACGATTACGTTTCGGTCCGTTAGTTTCCTGCAGGAAACTAACGGACGAAACGTCGTCGCTTCTCCATTTTCTGATATGTTATTTGGTCTGTTTCCATCCACGCTATTGTAACTCGTCGTCTATATAAGGACGAAGCAATTTACCATTGAATATGAATATTATTAATTTTAGTGTTCCCCTTATGTCCAATACCAACCCCAAGTTAACATACAAAGTCGTGTGTATACACATATACCCTGGTGGACATACACGTACACCCTGGTGGACATACACGTTCACCCAGGTACAAGGAGAGCGAGGGGACTCACCCATGGCCTGGCACTCTGTGTTATCCTGGGCGACCTCCACCTTCATGTTGACCGCCAGCAGCAGGAACCCCACCAGGTAGGAGAGCACGTAACTCAGCAAGATCTTCCCTGCCAGAGTGTTCACCTGGGAGGGGGAGAGGGCTAGTCAAAGGGGCTACACACGATATTATATACGATAAATGTAATCAAATACACTCGCTGGTTGGCCACTAAGCTATTGTGGTGGCTTTAGTAACGTCATAGGCTCTCAACCCAACAAACCAAGGGCTTCACGGGACGGATTTTATGAGGATTTTGTCTAACGTGTGAAGGTGCTGACTTCCGGCTGTTCAGTCGAAACTGACTAGCTTCTCTATGCCAATGTTGCTCTCCCTGACTGTTACTAGCACCATCATTAGCGCCTCTTATGTTACTGACACCTTTTTATTTCTACTGCTAAGTCATATCTACCCGCGTATGGATGGGAATAACATTGTTATGATTCTTACCCCCTCAAAAAATTAAGGTAGAGATAATGCTATATTTCTCAGAAGAAAGTCCTGAAACCCTTTTCAAGCGAACTTCAGACCAATGCAGGACAGGTTGTATAAACCCCTATATCACTCCTACCGCCCTCAAGTCCCCCCTCCAAACATTATAAAGTAATATATATATTACTAGGAGGGTTACAATGCCGAGTAACCCTCCTAGTAAATATATAAAATATAGCGATTCATAATCCTACCAGTTTATATGATTTGAGAGAGAATGCTCTGTGGACAGAGCATCAATATGGCTTAAGGCGTTGAGCTTTGCCTCAAGACGAAGCTTGGGCTGATCTCTAATTTGCTTCTTGGGTGGAAAGGGAGAACTTCAACAAAATCTTGTAGATCTGAAGCAAAGTGAAATCGACACCAGTAATTTCATCTATCATCGTACTATCATGCAAGAGGAGCCACACATCTATGGTTCATCCAATAAAATCATCAGACTTCTAGATGTTACTACTGCTCGGCTTAGACTCGGTTACAAGTATATTTGGGAATTCTCATTATCTGCCGATATAGACCTGACCAAATGTAAAATGTGTCAACAAAATTATTCGCACACCCTCCGTCACTATGTGATGGAGTGCGAAAAGATACGTGAATTCAGAGAGAATTCTATAACAAATGTTTTAAAGATGTGTAAATATTTAATTCAAAATGATCTGCTACCAGAAATTTTAGCCAAATATCCCCAGTTTGCTAACTGTAGGTAGTAACTAAGTGACTGTAATCTATCCACCGCTGCCCACTGGATGGGGGGCGGTGTGCAGGACAAACATATCAATTGTGACACTAGCTCTCCATATATTATTATTATTATTATTATTATTATTATTATTATTATATGTCAGTTGCTTAAATTAGAAACTGTATTTGTGGTCTATCTCGAACCCATTGTTGATGTGACGACTTATATTGAATTTTGTAACTAGCTCATCAAGATTGTAACTTGCTTAGCTAAATGAATTGTGGGGTTCAGTCCCTGAGCCCATTATGTGCCTCTGTAACCCTTTCTACTACCGCCCACAAGATGGGGATGGGGTGCATAATAAATGAACTAAACTATCTCATAATCCTACGTTATATACAACAGGAGACCATGGCCAATAGGATCCACACGCCTGTGTTGATGCAGTTCTCTTACACTGCACCTGATACACCCTACTGTATGCAACTGAGGGAACTGTTTGAAATAAATCTATTCCGTAGTTCCTGCTGAGAACGTTCCCTTAAAAGACGACATTTCCTCCCACAACATATATTAGTTGGCTTTTGAAGTGGCTAAAGAGGTTTATTCTCCAGCTTCAGCAGAATGTTTTCTTGTATTATCCATCAGTCGGAAACTGATGTAAATTGAAACTGAACGCTATGAAACTATCTGGTCTCCCACTTTTGAGAATATCTAATTATATGTACCGGACACAGCATGCCATAAAAATACCTCAGTAGGGTTATGACATTAGCAACTACTGATATGTAATGACAGTATTATTGGTACTGTACCTTTTTGACCGTGACTAGGCCTCTCCGAACGCGGGTCGAGATGAGGGAGAAGGCCGTGGCGAAGAGAGCAGTGCAGGACAAGCCCAACAACACCGCCGTCAACCCGAACTTCTCTCTGTGTACGTTCATGCCATTCCACTCCTCAGGACACACCAAGACCACCGGGTTGATGTTTGAGCCGACGACGCCGTACTCGAGGCAGTAGTTCTCCCGGGTGATGGCTTGCCTGCTGAGGACGCACCTGCCCTCTAGGCTCACCACCTCCAGCACCTGGCTCTCCACCAGCTCCCCGTGATCGTCAAAAGACCCCGGGTCGATGTAGTAGAAATGGTATTCCTCTCCGTTTTCACAAGTAGGGAAAGACGTGTAGGTTAACTTGGTTATGTTGGCAGCATGCACGAGCGGGTCTTGCAGTAGTGAGAGGCCCATGGAGTCAGTGATGCAAGTGTAACTATCCATGTCCATGTACTGGTCGTGCGGACAACACTTGCCCACGCTCCCCGCCTCGCTAGGCTGGGCTGACAGGTGTACAGGAACGATGTCGTCTAGCTCAGTAATACACATGAGAGCCACCGTCTGCGTCTCGTTGACTGGGTCGAGGTAGTCGTCTACGCAGTACCGCATGGTAGAATGACTTTCTGTTTTTACATCTATTTTAAGGTATCCAGACTTACTGATCCACCAACGAATCTCTGAATCATTGGGTGTAATCCACTCCTGGACACACTGCCCACCATCAATTTCAGTAGGAAATCCGAATTGAGGTTCCATTACTTCCAACAACTGCAACATTCGTGCTGAGACATAACCCCCAGAGGCCTCCACGCACCCAGACTCTGTGAGAATATGGTCCCTAGGGCAGCACTTGTGGAAGGAGTCAAGGGGACACACGAAGGCCACAGGCGTCATGGTTGTGTAGCCTTCTGCCCACAAGTACTCAATACAGTAGAGGGAGCTTGGATAACAGTCCCCAGTATCGCGTTCACAGAGTTGGTTTGCATGGTCGAGAAAGGCCTGATCGGCGATGACTATCCTGGGCTCACCGTGACTACAATTGAGCCTCCCGGTGCTTACTTGGATGGTCGGAGCCCTGGGGTTATTCTTGGAGAATTCGCGCACTAAATTTTCATGGTCACTCATGTTGGTAGACCTCATACAATAGCCTTTATTTGCATGGTTGTAGTATTCGTTAAGGTTACAGCACTTCCTGGTGTGGATCTCAGTTGGCCACGGATAGCAGAAAGCTGCCACTAATATGCCTGTGGCCAGCTGGTCAGGGCCCGGAGCTGCTACCTCCAGACAGTAATGATCATGATCATAGGTAATTCCTGATGTATGGTCCTTCAAGTGACCGAGAGATAAGATGGAGTGTGTATGGAAGCTTGCCTCGCTAATAGTAGGGACGTTACTGGTCCCGGGGCACGCTTGCAGGCGGCCAGGGATGAATGTCAGGTCACTCTCCTCCTCCAGCAGATCCCGCACCGCCTCCGGGAACCCGGTCATGCTCTTCGCTGCCTCACACTGCTGAGTTGCCAAGCTGAAGAACTCATCGAGACCGCAACACTTTCTTGCTGCCGTCCCGTCTGAATGTTGAATGTTTTTGACGATGGTTGAATTTTCTTCTTTGAGTGATTTCGATGCGAAGTCTGTGTTTATATAGCTATCAGACTCTATGACAGAGCTTTCCTCCTGCCGTAGTGTATCATCATGTATTCTGCGTCCATCTCTGTCTCTTGCTGCTTCATCATAGATGTTGAAAGATGAAGATGATGTTGAGTTTTGATAGCCAACCTGCTCACCGTTTTCACTTATAATGTTGTAGACGATGTTCTCAACCTCCTTATTGCTGTTGACAACCTCTGTGTCATTTAGTGCATGAAGCGCCAGCGTTACATTCTGCGACGGATCTGAGTTTTCCAGAGTTGTGTTGCTGAAGTTAGTCTCTTCTTGTTGCTGACCTGAGGTTTTAGTCGGTAAACTTACGCCTTTTAATTCCATATCCAGTCGCGTGCTGTTGGATGCTTCTTCGCCATCGTTGAGAACATCGCTGCCTTGTTCCTCTGGCGTGACTGGTGTCGTCATCTCTGTTGCTTCCCCAGTCACAATTGTATTGTTTTCATTGGCATCAGTTTTGTTACCCACAACAAGCTGGATGGATTCCCCACGAGCATCTACTTCCTGTCCCTGCAAGTGAGGGCCCTGAGTGAAGTGTTGTGACAAGGGCGGTGCGTGGAGGTGGTGGGTGATAGTGCCTGTGTGCTGGCAGGGGACCGAAGTGCTGCCATTACAGAGGCGTGCAGGGTGGTCATTAATGGGGCTGCCCAAACATCCCGTCAGTAGCCCAGTAAGACTTATTACGAGGCGAGGGAAATGGAACATAGTGAAGAGTTCCTCTAGAGTTGGTACTCATCTGTCTCACACGCGCCTCCTGCAGGGAAAGATAACACTTTTATTAGTTGAGCTGTGATGAATCGGTGGTAATTTGCTAAAACACAGCAAAGTTGCTAAGTATTCTGAGCAGCAGCAGCAGCAGCAGCAGCAGCAGGCGGGTGGACGCCGCTGGCTGGTGAGCACGAGAGGTGTTGACACCAGCCACCACGACAACCAGGCGTATTTGTGGGGATGAGCCACGGCTCTTGGGTCCCACCTCAACTTAATCGACTGCTATAGGTTCCAGAGCCTATTGTGCTTTGTCATGTCTACAGTATATTTAATGCTGTGTATGGAGTTTACCTCCACCACTTTACAGCTTAGCGGAATTCATTAGTTCACTATGAATAAATTCTTCCAAATTTCTCTGAACCAGTTGAGTACTTTTCATGTGTCCCTGTTCGTGTACTTTCCTTGTTAAATAGTGTGTGTGTTTGTCTGCCCTGTCTATTCCTCCGCGTATTTTGTGTATGGTAATCATGTTTCTTTACTCCAGGGACGTGAGGTTTAATTCCTTTAGTGAATCCTTGTAACTCATACCTCTCAGCTCTAGGACTAATCTGCTGGCATTTCTCTGAACTGTGTGTGTGTGTGTGTGTGTGTGTGTGTGTGTGTGTGTGTGTGTGTGTGTGTGTGTGTGTGTGTGTGTGTGTGTGTGTATAGAGGTGTACGTGTGTGCATGCGTGCAAGTTGGTAAGTGCGTATAGTAGAGCGGGTTTACCGAGGTAAACAAACTGTGCCACAGCTGGCCGGTCAGCTGGGCTTCCCCCGACCTAACACAATCTCCTGCACACACACTGTTGCCACATTGCTGGGTTTTCTCAGTTAAGGCAGATGTGAACATTAAGTGGAAACAAAAGGAAATTTGTTTCCTAAAGGCTGTAAATTTCTTCGGACTTCTCCGATGCAAAGCAGGAACCAAGGATGCAGTGGGCATTTCCTTTCTGGATCGACATATATACATATTTCTGTCATTTCTGTGTCTTGCACAGGATTCATGTCGCCCACATGCATACAAGCCCAGGGAAAGATGGCCAAGAATGAAGCACATATTCAGCAGATCCACTGCAGTGGGCTGCTAGCCGGGCGTACTTTGAGGGTGATCCAGTGTGGACATAGTTCCTGCAGTGTGACGAGTCATGGTGGATTGGGAAAGTACTCAGTCCGGGTCAGAAACACTCTCTCTTTCTCCCATTCCCCCCTCACACACACACACACACACACACACACACACACACACACACACACACACACACACACACACACACACACACACACACACACACACACACACACACACACACACACAGATCCGTTCTGGAATCCGCACTTCGTGTAGCCCAAAAAAAATGAAATTGAACAAGTTACGAAGTTAAGAGAACTACCATTAATCTCACGACCCTAAAGTAGAGAAGGAACAGAGGGAATAACATCACAACATGATGACACTCAAAAATAAATTAACAAGATGGATAAGGACAACCTCATTAAATAGAGAGAAAATAGGACAAAATGTAGAAGCACGAGACGTAAATGAGTCGATGGAATGTAAGGAAAGCCTTATGTTGTGTTCGGGTAGTCAACAAGTGAAATGCATTGAAAGAAGTCGTGCAAGCAACTACACATACAAGAACGAGGACAAATAGCAAGAGATAACTTGAACTTCAAGAGATTTAATATGAATGAGATACAGCTTGGCATGGCGTGGGGGGGGGGGGTATATGGGGTAACCCTCACCCCTGTACACACAGAGAGGGCTGAGGGGGGTAGAAATAGCCTAAGCTACTCTATCCCTTTGAGATGTATTTTTTTCTTGTCTCAATAAACATACTTGAACTTGAGGGAAGAACACACACTATGCCACATCGTCCACGTCTTCAGTGTATAGAGATAAACATGTATTTACCTGGGAATATCGCCAGGAGTGTCTCAACACCTGTCTTACTGATTATTGTGTTACCTCTCTCCCGCAAGCTTCACCTCTCCATTTAACACTTAGTATCAAGTTCTTTTGAATACCTTTTATATATATATATATAAATCGGGGAAAAGTGAAGGTCAGTGTTAAAAACAATTGTGGAGGATCACAATGTATTAACGGCGGGTTAATTGACACCCCACACGAACATTTATGGAAACTTCTACATTATCAGTAGGATGTTTCACACAACATCGTCCTGAGGAGACTAAATTCCTCTATTTGCATAATAGAATATTTAAAATTCCAAAATTTTATTGATAATTTTACACAATCAAATATTAAAGCAACAGTTTAATATATTTAATTTAAATGTAAAGATTTTTCGTAGTGGTTTGCATGTAAAATTGTAGCTTGCGCTCAGCAATGGAGGCTGAAAAAGTTGACGATGCAAGAACGTCACTGGATGGAGTGCAAGTCATGGGGGACGGTGGTCGAAGCTCACCTCAGATTTTATTATAAGTGCTCGACTTTTGTGCCCACGTTGGAAGTACGCGTGTCATGGTTGTGTGGGTTTAAGTGGTCAACTTTCGTGTCAGTGTCTTTATTTTTAAAGTGGTTGACTTCCCTGTCAAGGCAGTGTCCTAAGAGTGGTCGACTCTGACAATCGTGTGGACGGGGCCAGCGGGCAAGCCTCAGTCACCTCCTTTGCCAGGGCTCTAATTTGTGTTTCTCCTGAAGCCTCATCACACATCCTGGTGGCGTCACAGTTCCTCCACGCACCTCATCATTCCAGCTGTGTCAACACGTCACTTGAGCAGCAACGAAGCTGGAAATGAATCTGGTGTTGAGACACTTAACAGCTCTATTATTATAACTGACTTTACTACACTTAAAATTATAATTAAGTGTCATTTTGATATAAAACAAGTAATTTTGAAACGTCAAAAAATGTACATGATAGTTTTGTATTAACATATACATTTTTCAGTCTCGTTCAACTCTCTATGGGTCAAAGCCAAAATGTTGGAGAAACAAAAAATAATAGATAAAATTTTTAATTAAATTTAATTTACTCAAAATTAACTGACCAGAAATTTTTCTTATAGCTTTCAAATGCTAAACATGATTTGGGAAGATTGGTTAAATTTGCATTGCTAGAAGCTTAGATAATAAAGAAAATATGTAAAAACAACGTAACTAGGCAACAACCTCCCGCGGAGTTACCAACTAGTGAAAGATAACTAAAACTTGAAAAAAATGAAGAGGCTGCAACAAAAATGCCTGAACTTAAGGACTATGCTGGGAGGACAAGTTAAAGAAACGTGTAATTAACTTAAGGATTCTCATAACCCTGCAGAGAAGAAGCAGAGGGGATATGATCACAATATACAACATTCTCACTTCCTGAGTTTAGATCATTTATATTGTCGTTTGGAGTAAAATTGGAAAGCGACACATTAGCGCCTTCTTTATTTTTCGCGATACAATACAATATAGTCATTCCGGCTTCGCGTCTTCCTTTGATAATTACTGTACTTAACATACCGGGGTTATTCTGTGACTACCTGTATGAGAGCATTCAAGACCGTACATAGTTGTGGGAGGGAGTTGACCGATACTGATGCTGGTGTTGGCGTGCAACTGCAACACTGTACTGTACCAGGATTTGAGGTCCCACGCTTCACTGTCTGGGTGCTCTCGTCCCTCATCTGCGCACGCCTGGCAGTCTTGATGCTGCCAGGACTCATTTTCCCATGCTCGTGCTGCCAGAACTCATCTTCCCACGCCCGGCACTGTTCCAGGGTTCCGAGAGACAGTCCCGGCAGCAGAGTTAGCCAAGAGTCCTCGCTCACTGATGACTCGCTGCACGAAGTTGGAGCAAAAAATGATATGGGTATCTTGATCCTTGAATACTTCCTGGTGTTGCGTTCCAGGATGTTGATCAGTCGTGGAGGTAACCTCTCACTGTGGCGTATTCTAGAAGAATGCCTAGGGCGACCCTAACCCGATTTGACCGGCCACGAACCCTGGGACCAAGCAGGAATGTCGTCTACAAGCGCCTCCAGCTCTGACGATCAAACTGATGTTTGGTTTTTAATTCTCTCCTTGGCGATCGAAGACAACACGGCCAATAAAATTATCGGACTAATTGGGGATTTAAAATATAGACTTAGGACATTTCAAATTATTTTGAGGTTATCGCAAATTATCTTTGATGATTGCAAGAAAATAAACGTTTTCTGCCACAAAGTATGCCAGAGAGCTGAAGACGTTCGCAGCAGTCATTAACATCAGGGAAGGTGGATGTTACTGTTTTCATCATGGAACGAAAACTACCAGGGAGCATCCTAACAAACAAATTCTGGCCAATATGGGGAGAGTTCATGATGGAAAATGTACCCAAACATTCTGAGCATGAAATTAAAAAAAAAAAAAGTAATATAGGGGTCTATCTGGGTGAGTAGTATGGTGGCAAGAATGCCAGCTGGCTGCGTTTTTCACAATAACATAATTATCCAGGAAGGGAAAAGCGCCCACCACACGCGTTCCCACCACCCCTGACCCCGACCATCTTCCCCCGGGAGACACGCACTATCTGGCCTTGACCCATCCCCCACACGACATATCCGGCCACGTATCTCCTCTCATTATAAGGAAAGTACCTGGAAAACCTGATCGGTGTACCCAGCAAGTGGCGGTCCCAGTAGCAGCCTTCCTCGACCCTGGAGGCCACACAGGTACCACGGTCTTCAACATTGCACTCTGGCCTCCATCATGAAGACTAAAACTACGCATTTAACAAAATATTACCCAATTCTCTTGCGTGGATACAAAGTACTGTAGTATATATTACAGAAAACAAAATAAAGTATGCAGGTATCTATGGTGGTGTACTTCAACATGCGAGCAATATCAAGGTGATAAACCCAAGGGTTTTGTAATGTTTACATTAGACCCGCCACTTGGTCTAGTATTACCATCCGCTAGCGTTTTATCAGCACGCTGACACGTTTTATATTTTTGGCGTATCTGGCTACCACACATGTCCCTTCTGGTCCCACCCGTTGGCTGACAGT